CGCTCGTGCCAGGCTAGGTGCACTTCCGATGAAGTGCACAAGGGAACAACGATGCAATGTGTACCTACATAGGTTGCTGGGGCAAGTGCTGTTAGTGATCACCTATGCAGGCCGGCACGGTGCAAAAGGGGGTGTATGTAGACGCTTCGAGTGGGGTGGGGTGGGGGAGCTGTTATCCCATTAGACAGCACACGTAACGAATGGGAGAAAGTCAGCGTGCGTGGCGAGCTTTGGGAATCGATCGAGGCTGCGGCGGCAGCGGCTGCAGCGCTGGTGGCCCGCACCACGCACGCCTGCTCATCGCTTCCAGCACCCCTTGGCTCTCGTTGCAAAAGCGAGGCCGAGTCCACCTCGGGGAGGAGGTTCCACCTGCCCAGTGCCCTGCCGACAATCACCGTGCCCCCACGCACGCACGCACGCCCCTAAAAATATACACGCACGCACGAGCCAAAATTACCGAGCCCAGCACCGCTCTAAAATTATCGGAGCCCCGGGGGCGCGGCGGGGGCTCCCGTGGCGAAGGCTCCACGCGATCCATCTCTGTCGGCGGGGGGTGGGGAGTGGGGGGGCGCAATAATCACGACACCGTCAACGGGTACCTTTCATGTCGGAGCAATGCGTCCACTCACAGGCCTCACCGCCTCACCACCTCACTGCCTCGCACAAGAGAAGCGCCTGGGTTCGATTTCCAACCGGGGCGCCTTCTGTGTGGAGTTTTTCTACGTTCTCTTTCTCCCCCTGTCCCGCATGGGTTTCTTCCGGGTGCTCCGGTTTCCTCCCGTAGCTAAACAACGTACAATGCACCTGGCGTTTGCAATACTTCTCAACGTCACATAACCCTCTTGAAAAATGCCTTCGGACTCAGCGAGGCTGTCCTGGGCTCACAAGCGCCACTGCGCCCGGCCGGTCTACATTGGCTGTGGAGAGGCAATTTGGCTTTCCAATCGGTGTTTGGGGCGTGGAGAGGCTCAGCGCTGAGCGCCGGCTGTGCAGTTAACGAAGCGAGGGAGAAATGCGTGGATCCCTCCACAACCGGCCCTCTCTCCATGCCGCAACCACTGTCACCGCCACCTCCCTTCCCAAGGGACCCACCCACCCCTCCAGCAAGTCCCATCGGCACATTCACAACGTGCACCCAAAAGACCACACAAGCACCTCGATAACGCCCCACCTCGTGAGAATGATTCATCGCGATGGTCCATTACCCCTTACCCCAACCCACCCACCCTGACCCCAGCTACCCCAACCACACCCCACGTACTCCAACCTGCATCCCATCTAAAACCATCCACCCACCCTCACCACACCCACAACACCCACCTACCCTCATCCCGCCTACCTCAGTCACCCTTACGACACCTACCTCACCCTCACCCCCTTTATCACCCACCCTCAACCCACTTACCCCACACACCAACCCGCTCACCCACCCTCACCGTGTCCACCCACTCTCACCCCACCTACCCCACCCCCGTGGACAACTCGGCAACGGAGAAGGGGTCACGGTGGAGGAGGTCAGGCGAAAATTGGCGAGAGATGAATCGTAGGCCGCCGCCGCCGCCGCCACCACATCCCCCGCTCCCCCCCCCCCCACCACACACTCCCACCCGGCTAAACCGCTTACGCACGGAGAAAAATAAATAAATTGCAGAGCACCGGCAAGCAGCCGCCTGCCTGCGAGGGGCCACACGCCGCTCTCCGATTTCACGCGAGAGCGGAGATTAATTTTGCGCGGTGCGTGCGGTCACCCGCCGCCGCCGCCGCGACCCCGGTGGTATCGCCGTCGCCATCGGCGGCCCACAAACCCGCGGCCAGAACCACCAGAACCTTCCCACTGGGGTGGCGAGCGTAGCGCCGCCGGCCGTGGCGGCACATGCTGCCGCGCGCGCATACATCATCAATGCCACTTTGTTCTGCTTTCATCATCATCACCATCATCATTATAATTATCACTCGCAACCTCGGACGTCTTTTGGACGTGACTGTCCGTCCGTCCCTCCCAGCCACCCAGCAAAACCTTAATTCTTAAATGGAGCCCTGTCTCTCTCCACCGTTCTCTTGCCTTCTCTGTACTGTACATCGCAATGTCTTGCTTTGTTTCTGTTCCTCTATCCCTCTGTCCCCTCTCCTCCCTCCACTGTATCTCACGCACTTCCCTCCTCCCTATCTCTCTCCCCATCTCTCTCTCTCTCTCTGTGTCACCTCTCACCCCACTTTCCTTATTCCCACATGTGCCTTTCTCATCTCAATATCTCTTACCTCTTCCCTAATCCTCCCTCTCCCACTGCTTGTCACTTTCCCTCGCTATCCTCATGTTGTTGATTTACTCTATAACACACCGGTGGGCTGAAGTAGTAACGAATCGGCGTTTTGTTTACGTGACAAATCCCTTACTAATTGGCTGTGTCGGGTGGTGGAGGGTTACGACACATTTATTCTTACGCGATCTAACCCAAAGACCTTTGTTATGCTTCTCTCTATTTCACGCCGTTTAACTTTCTCCCTGCCCCTCTGCTCTCCTATCTTCCTCCCTCCTCTATCACTCTCCCTCACCTACCTCCTCTCCCTCCTCTCTCGCATTTGCGCGGGATCCACGGCCGGGTGGAGGGTGGGGAGGCGGGCGACGTCATCACGCTGATGTGCTCGGTGACGTCACCACCACACAGGCAGGAAGCCAGCCAGCAAAACCTTGTTTTAAATATATAGCATCATGTCACTTATTGTTATCACCGTTTGGAATTAACGGCGTCAGGTTCAAGGTCCAACGACGCAGAGTGACGCACGACATGACCGATGATACACGGAGAGATGGGGTCTCGGATGGCGATGGGAATCCTGGACGTGACTGCTTGTTTCCGGAATTCGGCTCCGAAGGGATTTGACTGCAGTTAATAGGATGAGTACTGTGCGGGATCCGGCTGAGGTTCTTGCAGGGGCTTATTTTATTATTCAACATCATGACGCGTGTTTACACAGGAAAGCCTCACCGAGCCTCAAGACTGTGTCTCATCAGGAGTCAGGCGAGCTTCAAGCAATGCTGGTGAGCTGCCAGATGTTACAGGCAAGGACCTTCCAAACAAAAGACTACTAGTTATGTAATACACAACACACAATAATCGTTGTGCGATCGTGGAGAGTATTAAATCATTATCGTGTCTCTTCTTTGGTTCTTTCGGTAAAGTCACGTAGAATGAGAATAAAATAATAAAATAAAACAATAAAATCCTCACGACGTTTCGGCCACAACACAAGTGGCCTTCTTCAGGTGAAAGGAACAAACCTGTCGGGACGACAGAGCCTGTTTACCCAAGAAAGCCTCACCGAGTCTCGAGACTCCTTTTCAGGAGGGCCCTGCCAAGTTTTCGAAGAAGGGGGCGACATTACTGCTGCGTGTAACTGCAATTGAGTCATTTGCAGGTAATGTTTCACCATTGGGATGTTTGGCCAATGCCAGCGACATTGTTGGTTTTTGTTTGGAGGGAATGAAACCAGAGAACCTGGAGGAAATCCACGCAGAACCAGAAGGGAAAATACAAACGCCACTCTCACGCTCTCAAACTCCGCCCAACAGGGAGAGAAACAAGCAAACTCGACTCTCTCTCACACTCTGCAGAGCAGGGGGAGAACATATAAGCTCCACTCACTCTTACACTCTCGCCCACTCTGCCCAACAGGGGAAGAACACACAAACTCGACTGACACTCTCTCTCTCACACACTCTACCCAACAGGAGTGTGACCACACAAACTCGACTCACACTCTCTCTCTCACACTCTACCCAACAGGAGTGTGAACACACAAACTCGACTCACAATCTCTCTCTCACACTCTACCCAACAGGAGTGTGAACACACAAACTCGACTGACACTCTCTCTCACACTCTCCCCAACAGGAGTGTGAATACACAAACTCGACTGACACTCTCTCTCTCTCACTCTACCCAACAGGAGTGTGAACACACAAACTCGACTCACACTCTCTCTCTCACACTCTACCCAACAGGAGTGTGAACACACAAACTCGGCTCACAATCTCTCTCTCACACTCTACCCAACAGGAGTGTGAACACACAAACTCGACTGACACTCTCTCACCCACACTCTACCCAACAGGAGTGTGAATACACAAACTCGACTGACACTCTCTCTCTCTCACTCTACCCAACAGGAGTGTGAACACACAAACTCGACTGACACTCTCTCTCTCACACTCTACCCAACAGGAGTGTGAACACACAAACTCGGCTCACACTCTCTCTCTCACACTCTACCCAACAGGAGTGTGAACACACAAACTCGACTCACACTCTCTCTCACTCTACCCAACAGGAGTGTGAACACACAAACTCCACTCACACTCTCTCACCCACACTCTACCCAACAGGAGTGTGAACACACAAACTCGACTCACACTCTCTCTCACACTCTACCCAACAGGAGTGTGAACACACAAACTCGACTGACACTCTCTCTCTCACACTCTACCCAACGGGGGAAGAACATATAAACTTCACACACTCTGCAAAACAGGGGGATAACATACAAACTCGATTCACATTCTCTCCCACACTTGCAGAACAGGGGGATAACATACACACTCAACACACACTCTCTCTCACACTGCAGAGTAGACGGAGAACACACAAACTCAACACACACTCTCTCTCACACTCTGCAGAGTAGGGGGAGAACATATCAACTCCACTCGCTCACTCACACTCTGCAGAACAGGGGGAGAACATACAAACTCAACACACACTCTCTCTCACACTCTGCAGAGTAAGGGGAGAACATATCAACTCCACTCGCTCACTCACACTGCCCAACAGGGGGAGAACGCACACAAACTCGACTCAAGAGAGTGAATCGAACACCGGGCACCTCTTGCCGCGAGGCGCGAGCATCACCGACCGTGCCGCCTCCACCCTCGCCGCCCCGATGGCGCCGAGCGGGGGCCGCCGGGGGCCGCCGGGGGCCGCCGGGGGCGCGCGAGCACTCACCGTAGTGCGCCTGCAGCGCCTGCGGCTTGAGGAATCGGCTGCAGAGCCGGCACCCCACCAGGTAGAACTCGTCCTGCGAGGGGCAGTGTCCAAACAGGTGCATGTCTGCAACGAGACGGAGCAAGGGCCGGTCAGGGACGGTCAGCGCCGGCGGCTCGCGCCGCGCTCCTTCGCGAGGGCAGACCCGGGGGAGAGGGGGGCGGGGGGAGCCTCGGCGAGTCTCGCCTCTCCGTTGCTCCTTTCGCCGCGAGGTTTTCCGCGGGAGGCGGCGACGCTGACGCGCGCGTTTTATTCTAAACCCGTCCGAGTAAACATTTTTTTCGAATTTGTTAAATTAGAAATTTGGACCGCGACGGCGGCGCACACGTTGCCTATTCCTGGACGCGGTGCGGGAATGAACGCCTTCAATGGCGGCTTTCATCCAGCAGTGGATTGACAACGGGCCGTGAACTGTACGTGTATAAGCGTACACTTTTGTTCTTTCCCGCGAGACAATATAATTGATGTGACTATGAAGCACGGCCGTTGCCCGAAACGTTGCCTGTTTTATCTTTTCCTTTTAGGGACACAGTATCCTTGACGAAGATGCCGAGTTTCTCGTTGTGTGCGATGGTGCGCCACTGCCAATGCAACTACAACTCTGTTAAATTTGCGTGAATAATTAATTACCAACGGATTTCATATCTGCATCCAAACATTCACACGTTTGGTTTTTCCGGCCTCCACCTCTAAATGAGCAACGTCACACGCACACACGCAGATACACAAAGATACACACGCAGACGCAACAACGCAGACACACACACACAAAGACTCCCCCATTCGTCTTAACAGCCTGTTGGGCAACAGCTGTTAGTGAGCACCTATGAAGGCCTGCACAGCACAGGAGGGGGTTGGTGACCAGCACCACACCTGCCCGCCTTTGTCTCCCCTGTCGGGATCTTTACACATCCTACCAGGTACTCATTCGAGGCCGACTCGGCACACACGCGCACAAAGACACACGCACGCACACAAAAACAAAGACGGGCGCACACACGCACACACTCCCCGGCGAGATGGTTGCCCGCCTTCCGGGGCTACTTAATAAAACGTTTCCGTCGCAGGCTCGTGCAGACGGGCGAGAAGCGGCAGGCAGGAGGGAGAGTGGGCAGCCCAGACAGACGTCTCCCTTGGGTGCCTGGCCGCCTCTTTCAGAAGGCGGCGGTGGTGATGGCGGTGACGCGGAGCGTAATCGTGGTGGTGAAAGTGGGGGTGCCTGTGGTGGTGTTCGTGGTGGTTGTGGCGGTAGTGGTGGTCGCGATGGTGATCGTGGTGGTGATCGTGGCAGTAGTGGCGGTGGTCATGGCGATGGTGGTCGTGGTGATCGTACTAGTGGTGGTGGCCATAGTAGTGGCAGCAGCGGTGATGGTGGTGGCGGTTGTGATTGTGAACATTCCAAATGACTGCACAAAACATGATTGTTTAGGTTTGTCTGGTCCACATGAGGAGAGACACATGGCAGAAATATATATATAAACCTGTTTATTAAGGAAATATCAATTATAATTGACTAGGAAAGCCTCGCTGAGAGGATGCTGCACACATTGGGGTGTTTGGCCACGAATTCCACTAATTAAGAGTTTGGCCTTCATGGAGGAGGAAACCGGATGAACCCGGAGAAAACCCAGCACCGCACTGTGTACGAGGAGGGGGTGACATTCAAAAGCACCGCACCGATAGCTTCACCAATCCGCCGCTCGACTGTTACCTCTCTACATTTTTTCCCACCAGTACCGTTACCGTAATCGCAGAAAGGCACAAACACCAACCAAGTTAATATATATTGTATAAAAAAAACAAGTCAACCAGAAACCGCGTACGTTGACGTACAAAGACAAAGACCCCCCATGTAGCCTTAACAGGCTGTTGGGGCAAGTGCTGTTAGCCAACACCTATGAAGGCCGGCATGACACACGAGGGGGTGGGTGGCCAGCACCACGCCCGGCCGCCTTTGTCTCCCCAGTGGCGTTGTTTACGCACCGCACCGGGTACTCATTTGAGGCTGAATCGACCTAGGGGAGGCCCAGGACCCATTCAGATAAGCGTCACTGGCGTTGGCCGTGAGCTGGAATGTAACCCGGGTCGCGGGGTTCGTAGTGCAGCGCGCTAACCGCTACACTACCGCTCTCCACGCGTAGAGGTGCACACACGTGTCTGTCAAATTAACATTTAAAACTGAAATAAAATCTACAAAGGTAAAGGCGCAGGTCTGCAATGTATTACTGACGCTACTGCTAATGGAAAGAAACTCTGCTTGAGACAGCCTTCGAGAGAGCCCCTCTCGAGGTTATTTTGTCTGAGAAGCGGTGAGTGTACCCACACTTTCCTCCACGACACACGCGATCTGCTGATCGACTGACTGTGGTGCACCTGCTGATGCTGCTGGGTGGAGACGCCCAGCAAGAAATCTGTCCCATTGTTTCGACTGCCGCGCCGGGAGATTTAACCAGTGCCTCTTGAAGAATGTCCGCATGCCGGCTGCACGGGGCAGGCTGTCGGCGTGCAGGCTGTACGAGAAAGGTTGTCCGTGTGCAGGCTGCACTAGACAGGCTATCCCGTGTGCAGAAGTCCAGTTTGATAAAAAAAAAGCATAATTTAATTTGGCTAAATGGTGACGGCAATTGAGACAACCTTCGCGAAACGCCTCCGAGTGCCCGTTATCCCAGCGGTGGTTAAAGCACGTCATTAAGCGGCTCTTAACGAGCGAGGGAGGGACCGACCCCCCCATCCCCGCCACAGCTGCCAGGAGGCACAACCCACCCACCCTCCTCGCACCCCAGTAGCCTTATTAAAGAGCCGTTAACGAGCCTGTGAAAGGGAGATAATTGGTCGCAAAATATTTTGAGAGTGGGCAGCAGCGGCATCGAGCGGCTATTGTGATTCCAGCAGGAGGTGTCGCAGGGGTCAGGGTGGAGCTAAGCCGTTACTTGTTGAGCTATGCTGTTACTAATGGAGCTATGCTGTAACGATTTAAGCTACGCTGTTACTGATGGAGCTATGCTGTTACCGATAGCCAAACCACAATTCTAATCACAGCTGCACGGCACAGTACCTGCACTATTCCTACTACTGCCATCATCGTCATCATCGATGATGGAGATAAAACTCAGTTATAGGCTGAGCGTCACCTGAACCAACAAACACGTGAGAACTGCCCTGTCCACCTGACCCTCGCCTATAGCAGCACAAACCTCAACCGTCGTGCTGAACTAAAAGACAGACGGACCATTGGGAAAAATAACGAAGGAAAGAATGATCGGACACGACACCCGCACGCATTCCCTGGCACACACGCACACCCTCTTACAAAGGCGCACGCAGGCACACACACGCGGGCACACGCTCGCATGCACTGTCTGGCCACGACACCGGAGGACGGCTGCATTACGTAAACGCAACGGGCGTGCGTGCGCATGTGTGCAAGTGTGCGTGCCGCACGTGCATGCATGTGGGTGTGTGTAGGCATGTGTAGGTGTGTGTAGGTGTGTGTGTAGGCGTGTGGATGTCTTGGGTGGCGGAGGGGGCATAGCTCTGACATCATGCCTACACGGTCTAACCTAAAATAAACAAATCATGTCATGACGATTGCTTGAATCTTACATAACCTCACGCGCACTTCTCAATGTGTATCGGTACTAAGCGAACATCAGAACCGATTTGAATCCACGACTCGACGGAGCGTCACATCATGAGTATTCAACGGGAAGGCCCAATCACGTGTGCCCAATCTCGCGTGACCTCAAAGGTCTGAGCGCGGTTGAGCCTGGGTTTTACATGGATGGGAATGCCAGGTGATCTTGGGCTACGTAGTGGCTTGGGCTACGTAGTGCCCAGTAGGTAGCAGTACAGCACTTGAATTTTGAATCTATCTGTGTGGTGCTTTGAGTGTTAACCCCCTATGTGTGGTGGGTTTTCTCCGGGTTCTCCGTTTTCCTCCCACACAAAGCCAAACTCTCATCAATGGAGTTGACCAAACCATGCCAATGCAGAAAAGCAGTTATTGAGACTGGGTTAAGATCTCCTTTTCTTGATAAACAGATTACGAGACCAAATCACCCGGAATGCACCCGATATAGTCAGAAGCTAAGCAGGAATTTAGCCTGGATAGTGCTTGGATGGGTATCCACCATGTACATAATGTGTCTTATATAGGCCACTATAGGGCCATGTTATCGGCAGAGAACAGTGCAGCAAAATCCACTGTTGGACTGCACTATGCTCCAATGACTATGCTCCCCACCTTCACCAACCGGCACTGATCGGTGCGGTATTGTCAAACAGCTCTCACAATCCACAAGGCGTGGGGAGGCCCTCATCCAGCAGTGGATTGACACTGGGCTGTGCCCATACCTGCATGTCACATGTGGTGCAGATAGAAACCAAAATAAAAGTTTTGTAATGTGTATATTTGCTAAGTTATCAAGCACAGGGCCAAGATACTAAACGGGAACCCTGCTGAAAACAGTCTTCACACCCAGAAACCTTCCCAAATAAACACATTTTAAAATATATATATCTAGAATAATAACATCATCGTTACAATCCGGTGTGTTTGGGTCGTGCCACGTGTTGTTCGGCACGATGTTGCCCGACTCGTCGCGCCACGCGCTGGGAGCTTCTTCAGTTCTTGATGAAGGTTCAGTTTCCAAAGAAGCTCCCAGCGCGTGGGGCCAAACGTCAGACAACATCGCGCCGACCAACACGCAGTGAACATGCAATGGAGAGCCATAGATCAGCACCACCGCAGAATTGCACGGAGTTGTGTTATATAGTTGTGATGCAGGAACTTAGGTTTAAAACAATATTAATACAAAAAACAGGGTCATGGAGAAAAAACAGCTGAGGTAAAACCCCAATGTATATTAGATGATAATAAAAATACTAGCGCACAATGCAAATAATTTGCGATAATTCAATGTTTTTAACAATTCCAACTCTGGAAAATTACGACAAAATCAACAATGAACCCACGTGTGCGTTGGAAACAATTTCAAGCAGCCAGCAGCACGTGCAATTACAACAGCAGCAGCAGCCACCACTCGCTATCAAGTTACGGTGTCACCATGAAGGTGCTTGTGCCAGGCTAGGTGCACTATGAGGCTGTCACGTGAAGTGTGGAAGGCTTGCTGCTGACAGGAGATCACGGGACAGACCCAGGTGCCGTGGATTGAACGACTCAGATGCACCACCTGTTTCCCTCTGTGCCACCTCACTGCGTGTTAACTGCACAGCCCGTGGAAGCAGCTATCACAGAACTACTTAGTGAAGTCCCTTGAAGTGACCTCTGGTACACACAGAGTTTGGCGCGCTGATTTCCTAGGTTTCCCTGCTAGAGAGAATGGCGTGCGTCGCGTGACATTAAAACCGATATTTAAAATTCTCAGAGCTGGGAAAATCATTAAGAGTTGAATGCATTTGGATAATTTTGTCACTTTCTGACTGAGAGGTTTCCCTACTTTGTGGAACTGCCCCCCTTAAGCCCACCCAGCTAACGAGGTCAAGGTCGGACCGATCGCACGCATTGCACGTCCCCACCGCGTCACCTTCTCTGTTGAGCCGCATGACTTCCCGGTTCTTGTGCGACGAATCCTTTCCAGTGCCAGCGGCACCAACATCCTCCCAGTCAGAAGGTCCTGGGACAGAGAGAGGAGCACAATACAGACACGCACACACACACAAACGCATGTGTTATTAGTCGCCAAACAAAATGCTGTTCGCGAGCACCCATTAAAGCCACGAGGGCATGGCCAGTACCACGCACGCCTCACTGACTTTGTCTCCCCAGTGCTCATGTTTTTGAGACATCACACCAGTTCCTCATTTCAGGCCTAGTCAACCTAGCGGTGGCTCTGAAACCGGTCGTTACTGATGTTAGCCGTGGCCAGGAGTGACCCGCAAGCCACAAGGCTTGAAGCCACTCCTACACACACACAGACACACGTGACCTTTTACCTGAAAACACACATTCACATCCGCTTGCACACAGAAGCACCCACATAACACTGAGCAACCCCACCAATATGACCTGTTTGTTTGCATGTGCATACATACAAGGGGCAAGAGCAGTGGCTCAGTATTCAGCGCACTCTATTACTGTTACCAAAGTTCGATTCCCGGCCGTGGCTGGTGATATTTGGGCCTCCTACATCACCAACCTGTACTAACCAGAATTGTGAAGTATGGCGAAAATCCCGTCCCCGTGACAGAAATTGCGTGGATTTTCATCTAGCAGCAGCTTGTGGGAAAACCCTGTGTGACATATAAACGTCACCTCGTTCTCGGCCGCCATTACCCACCACTTGCCCTGTGTGACCTGTGCCTGCCTAGGTGCAAGCTGAGGTTCCCGGTTTGAATGGCAAAGGCCCGCGAGCGAGCAAGAGGTCACGGGACCAGGCCCGTATGCTGTGGGTTTGTGGCAGCTGTGATGAACCGCGCGTTTCTGTGCTGTCCGCTAGCCACGTTCGCGTTGGCCGGTGCTACACATGTTGTGTCAGCGCTACGCCTCGTGCCGATTAATGCGGGGGTCCCCCCGTGGCTCCTCCAGGGACCCTCAGGGCCTTGTTCTCGGCTCTGGCTCGGCCTCCAATGCTCCGGCTCAAAGCCGCTCGGTTGCGTTCAGTGACGCGCGAGCGGCTCGGCCATAGCCCAGCACAGGCAGAGCTCCGTGGAAATCCTGAGCGTGGCTGGGAACCGTGCTCAGTGCCGGCTCAAGTTGAGGCAGAGCCAAGCTTGAGCTCAGCCGTGACTAAGAATACGGGCCTCACGCTGCTCGCTGGGCATAGAACAATTCACTCATGACCAGGGCCTGAGTGCTCACCAAAAATGTTCACGTCACTGGTAAAAGACTGCAGCAGGTGGCACGTTAGTATTAGCCACAGTCAGACAGAGGTGTGGTGGTGTGCCAGATAAGAGTCATGATATTTTTATGAATTTTCATGATTCCAGGTCATGATTCGATTCAAGAATCAACTGCAGTGTATTTTGTCTCAGTTGTGTGGGTCTCCGTGTGAATGTATGGGTCTCTATGCAAGTCTATGGGTCTCCACAATACATGGATTAATATACTGGAGCATCTAAATACAACCCGCACCTACCGACACTGTACCAAGATATTGGGCAAATCTATGTTCGAGAGAGAGGTCGTCAATCAGGGGCAGAGGAGTCGGCAGTATGGACGGCTGGGAGGAAGTTCAGACGATGCAGGTAGAGGTTGACTGGGAGCTTCGATGGAAATCCTTGGTTGGAAGGTACGTCTGCTCCGCATCGACTCATGTGTCCTGCATGTCTAGCGTGTTCCGGTCTAGTTTGCACTGTGTTCTGTCCCGTTTGTCCCATCTCGACTGCCCGTCCCATCGTCTGTACTGCCTTTCGTTCGTACGGTCAGCTTTGTACCATCTTCATCGTTTGGTACAGTGGGTCTCATTCCTTTCCGTCTGTACTTGCAGTCTCGTCCGCACTTCCTCTCTCATTTGTTCCGTTTCACCTGTCCCGCGCGCTCTCTCTTTCTCTCTCTCGCGCATGCGCGCGCATTTTTATAACCATTAGCCTAAAGGAAACATTCGCCAGCATTTTTCACGAAGCAAAATTACGGGTTTCCTGCGCTCGCTATTCCCCGCGTGTCCCACAAGCGTACCAAAGCGCAGTTTAAAACAACGGATCGGTTCATCATCGATGGACGCCTTGCACGGGCTCGCCGCTGTCATCAGGCAGTCGATCAGCTCCCTCCAAGGTCAACATCAAAACATCACCACTCCCGGGGTTGCCTCGAGTCCACGGGGCACTCAAGTGGCCCCTTAAATCTGGCCAAAGTGCCCAAGTGAAAGTCAGGTCAAAGCCACGTGCTGCCTTAAGCGAGCACCGAGATGGTGCGCATCCTGTTCACCTGAGCCAGTGATGGGAACTTATACATTCCTATGGCGGGAGTAAGTCCACCCCATGGGAGAACAACAATTGGGTTAGATCGCGTTAATGTGTCGTTAACCCCCCCCCCCCCCCAAAAAAACCCTCTATTATGGATATTGGTCGCGAAAGCCTAATTGTTAAACCAACCACAATTTACTTCCCTACAAAGTGGTAATCAATTTTTTAAAAATGTGAAGAGTTTAAACTACCCCACCCACCCCCCGAAACAGGATTTGAACTCGCAACCTTCCGACTGAGAGCCGCTCTCGCTCTACCCCTGAGCCACCGGGGGGTCGGATATCGAGTGGGGTAAATGAATGGGCTGGGACGGGGGGTGGTTAATGGATGTGTTGGGACAGGGGGGGGGGGGGTTAATGATGGAACGACGGTGGCAGGATGCAGACCGAGATGCAATGCGTGGAGGGGGAATGAGTGACTGAAGGACTGAGTGAGTGGGTGCACGCGTGGAACGATACAATGATGCAATGGTTGGCGACCTGACTGACCGCGCGACGATGGTCAAGTGCCCGCGCCTGATGCTGTAACGTAACACTTGCGCACGGCAAGGATACAACACGCACGCCCGCTGTTGTGGCAAGTGCTGTCACAGTCACTTACTCCTCACCGCCCTCGCCCGTTCACCACGCACAACACGAAACGCAACAAACACCCACACCCACCCCTCCACCCCCCGTGCCAGACTTTTCCAATGCACTGACCGTGTTCCCTCAAATGTCGCGTCTGCGAGGCGCGCATTGAAGGCGAGCCAGCAGCGGTCATTCCACGTTACTACGGCGAGGCGGTGGTGTCATGCCAACGCATAGCACGCGCAAGGAGGCAGTCGTGGTAATTCCACACTACGATGACGGGTCAGTGGTGCCGAATGGTACCACGTACACGAGTCATTCCACATTACTATGACGCAGTCGAATAATGCAAATCACGACACCGACGAACGTAACACACTGAAGCCAGGGACGGCCATTCCACGTTCACATGACGGGACAGAGAGGCGACCGGTGCACAAGACACGCGCGCGGAGCAAGGGGCGAGCGATGCCAACTGCACGTTACTCTGACGCGGCCGAGTCGAACCCAAAGCGCAACACCGCCAGCAGCAGCAACAGCATCGACAACCACCAACATCACCACTCAACACAAGCGACCACAAGATCGACCCCATCATCATCAACCCACGTCCCCCCACTTATGATGATGACGAAGCGACCGACCGCCCCCCCCAAACCACCCACAATAAAGAAACCGCCATGGCTCACCATCCCCGCACTGAACCCTGGCCGCGTCCACCAGGGTGGCCCAGGGCCGACTCGCGAACGCTTCGGGGCTCGGTAGCCGCCTCCCTCTCCGCTCCCTCTGCGCGTCGCCACCGCCTTCCCCGTCCGCGGCCGCCATGAGCGGCCTAGCGCCCTCCCCGGGGCCGCGGCCGAGCCTCGCCGTTGCCTAGCCGGACCCGCCGGCCGGCACGCGCCCTCGTCCGGCCCACTCGGCCCGCCTTGTCCGCTCCGCCTGGCCCGCCCGGCCCGCCCGGCCCGGCCCGCCCGGCAGCGGGACAATCCGTCGACATCCGCCGATAAAATCGGTCCCGGACGCCCGTTTGTGCGGCCGCCCGGACGCTCGAGAGGCTCAAGGGTTCGGTGCGCTGTTCCTTTCTGACCGCCGACGTCGGATGCGTTCGCGAGCGTCCTCGGGAGGCCAACACGGGAGGGCGCCGCCTTAGGCCGCCATTGAGGCGCTGGGTGGCCGCGGGGCTCGGCTAGTGGCGCGGCCGGGACGCGGCCGCTAGAGGGCGGCACGCGGCGCCCCCTACAGCCGCCCGTACCCCCACCATGGGGGCAGCAGCGGCTGCCTGCTGGGCAGCGAGTAAATTAATTATAAACAAGCCGCCAGCACACTCCATTAAGTGAGCGTCGGGCTTTGTTAGGTGATAATATACACAGACGACCGCCGTTACGTAGCTTCAAGTAAAAAAAATATGTTTTTTAACCCAACAACAACCTCTCTACCCCTCCCATCCCAGTCCCCGTGTTTGCAGCCGACAGTGGAGAATTCACTGTTGCTGCTCAAAGGTGACGGTTAATGGTGTATTTTGAATGAATGCAGGGAATTGCATCACGTTTCAAATTGAAGATCAATAAATACTTTGCAAGAGCACCTCGTTGATTGCCAGGCTGATGCCATAAATCTCACAAAGCAAAGTTACCCACAATTCAACGCCTAAGACCAAATCACTGTCAATTAGAGTCGACACCTTTTTCCACTGCAGACCAATTCCGGGAACATTTCTCAGTTGGCCTGGTTCTGTGATCAACACTGTGAAGTTTACTGCAATAAAGTTCAACACTATTAATTGCAAAACTGTTTTTTTTTTTACCAGGTAAGGCCCACTGAGCTATGTGGCTCTTAAATTTCGATTTAAAGCTTTCGATTTAAAGCTTTCGTGACTGCAAGGATTCATCTTCTTTGGTTCTTTCGGTAAAGTCACGTAGAATGAGAATAAAATAATAAAATAACACAATAAAATTCTCACGACGTTTCGGCCACAACGCAAGCGGCCGTCCTCAGGTGAAAGGTACAGACCTGTCGGGACGACAGAGCTTCACCTGAAGACGGCCGCTTGCGTTGTGGCCGAAACGTCGTGAGAATTTTATTGTATTATGTGGCTCTTTTTCAGAAGCAACCTGGCCACAAATGATAGCTCAACGAAGTGGCTTATCACGTGGAAATTTCTCGCAGCGAAATATTTAAAATGCATGTTTCTAAATCCACGTGACCACGGGAGAACACGCAAACTACAAATATAGAGGCGTCAGAGTTGGGATCGAATCTACGACCTCCTGCATACCAGGCGAAGGAGATAACATATCGCCACCACGGTGCCCACACAACAATAGCGGAACTGCATAAATCAACTCTTGCCACCCGAACACAGATGCGAGTACCCGGACTACACTGGCTCAAACCTGAACTTGTGGTAACACGCCCGTGAATGCACTTAATCTCATCAGATGAAAAACAAAAATGTAACCACCCTTTCATCAATAACACTGTCGCTCTGGAGGGAAAATGTAGAAAATAGATTTTGATTTAAAGCTTTCGTGACTGCAGTAATTCATATTCTTAGCTCTTTCGGTAAAGACACACCTGATGACGACCGTTTGTGTTATGGTCGAAACGTCGTGATAATTTTTATTGTTATATATATTTTATTATTTTATTGTTTCCCTTTAACGTGACTTTACGGAAAGAGCTAAGAATATGTAGAAAATAAGTAACGTTTCGGGCAATGGCTCTTCTTCTTTGCCTGAAATTACACCTAATAAGCATCTTTTTAATTTAAGACCACAGCGTTATTGACAAATGTGTTGAGTTTCTGTTTATCTGTGCATCACTGCCAACGCAGTGTCACCAAATTGATCCACCAGATCTGAGAGAGCTAAGCTGGGTTGGAGCCTGGTAAGTACCTGGATGGTGCTGCAGGCATGGGAATGCGGGGTGGCCAAGAACACACAGTGCTGAGTGTAACCTCATATGTATGGGGTTTTCTCCAGGTTTTCGGTCTCCTCCCACACACAAAGTAGGCACTCCTTGAAAATAAATTGGCCGAACATTCCAATGCCTGTCCCTCCAAAAAGAGTTTTAAAACTCGGTCAGACTCTCCTGGACAAATAAAGGAAATAATATATTTGTTAACTAAATCCACATCTACATTACTATCGTTGTCGCAGGTCCCACTGACTATTCCAGTATCAGACTGTCTCGTCTATGAAGTGATCTTAATGGAGTTAGGTAAACATCTGAATATAGGACCACAGCCGTTGGGAAATTGTTGGCACTGGTATCTGTTGCAAAATGTTTTGAGCGATTTGAGTTGTAATTGGCATGAATGACGACGCAAATATAAACATAAACCAGTTTAACACGTATATATAGAGGCGTAAATGTGGTGGACTTCTCCACAAATCTGGCTGTCGCCTGACGAAGCAAGTTGTAATTACTGGCGAAATGTCGTACTCAGATTGTAAATGGTGTGGCTTGGCTCTCCAACACACCGGTGTGCTGTGCTAGTGACGAATTGGCACGTTCTGTTTACGTGACAACCCTTACTAGTTGGCTGTGTCGGGTGGTGGCGGGTTTAAACGACACATTTATATATTTATTACGCGATCTAACCAAAAAAACCTCTTATGGAAAACATAAACCAATTCTAAATTACACGATTTATAATATACACTCATGATACCCTCCTCCACCTGTTGTTGTGCTTCCTGTGACGCACACGTCCTGTTACTTTGTCCAGCTTGTTGAGGTGCGGCTGAAATGTTAGATGCCTATCAATCCAAAGCGCGTGGAATTGAATAATTTGGCGGGACCATGGGGGCCCGCAAAAATCAGGTCAATAATTATTATTTTTCAGTCCGCCCACTCGTGATCGCCAATAAGTACTTTTCGATCCCCGCCGATTGCCTCGACTACTATCCAGCCATCCCGCCCAATCTCGTCGCCGAGTTGGACGACGCCAGCAATGCGCCGCCCGCCCAGACTCGCGCCAACAAGCGCCAGCAGTCGGCGATCAACACGATGGGCGCCACCCCACCGGCCAAACGCGAGCCCGGGCGTCCGCCGCAGTTGCGCGCGGCGACGACGTCCTCCGGTCAGCCGTCGATCCTCAGCTTCTTTGCCAAGGCGGGCCCGCCCCCCAGGCAGTGAATTTAACGTGTTTATGTAATTTTTCAAGTTTTTACGAAACTTAGTGCCCCGAGTAGCTCTCGACGAGGCCAATCGATGGACACTAGTTTTGTTGTCGGTAAGGCAAAACTCGTGTCGCTAAGCGGGTTTTCCCACCCCGGGGCAGTGATGGGACCCCGGGGTCCCGCCAATTGCTTCAATTGTTTAACAAAACAAGTGTGGAATTTAATAGAAAATCGATTGTGATGACAAGGCCGAATAGTGGGCCTTGACATAAACCTTACAATCATGTCTAAAGAGGTACATTATTGAAATATTTTTACCATTTTCACCGCAGTCAAAAGCTCCATTCTGTCATTTGGTCAGATTTGAGTTTCTGGCACGCGAAATAGTTTTAAGTTGATTTTGTGGGACCTAGTGAGAACTCGAGAGACCAGGATTCACAAGAGTCACCTGAGTTGTCACCACAATGACAAAAGATAAACGAATAAAGCATTTGCGGTGTTGGATACATGGCATTCATTATGGGTATGAACCGAAACATCAATTTAGAATCATACAATCGGCCGTGCAGACATGCGCGTCAAGGTTATCATGGTAACTCGGCCTTTTAAACCAAAACATGAACGCAATTTCAACAACCATTATTTTCTGATTACCGACACAATTGCTTTCAAAATTACATAGGTTGTGTTTCGATTAATAATTAATTTTTGGGTCAGATTGCGTGAGTAAAATAAATCTATTTGGAAGCCACGGGAGCTATGCACTTTTACATCTAGATCGAAAACTAATTTCTTTAGAACTGCTTTTTGTGTTTAGTTTGTTGTCCTTCCCCCACACCTCCGATTAGCACAGTTGGCTACGTACGGTGCGTAAAAAGACATACATACGTGTTGTAGTACACCCTCCGCCGCCCAACACAGGCAAATAAACAATGTTGTCACGTGAACAAACATGGAAATGTATTACTATTTATTGAATCCTCTGTTTTAGGGTTGGGTTTTATTGGTGTGAGCCTGCGTATGTGTGTGTTTTGTTTATCACCTGTGAAAGGCACTTTATAAGTATTAAATTATTAGTAGTGGTGTTATTGGAAGAGGTAATAACAATTGCATTTATTTGCCTAGGCAGACCTAATTGAGTCTCAAGGTCCTTCTCGCGAGGATCCTGCTACATTTCGATGTTTGGCCAATTCCATCATTTGGTGTTTGGCTTAGTCTGCGAGGAAATCAGAGCACGTGTCAATCCACTGCTGGATGAGGGCCCCACTACGCAGTGTGGGTCGTGGGGGTTTGTTGACCATACTTTACCACGATGGTCACCGTGGGGTGGTGAAGGCGGGAGTTTTTAAACGGCATGCTCATAGATCCAGACGCATGCACCTTTCTTAAATACTAGGCTCATAGAGCTGGGACAAGGCTCTTGTGATTTAATGCTTATAACTAAGGCTTGAGAATAGGGTTTCCCCTTTTTTCTGGCAACAAAACAGGTATTAAGATGTTAAAACACCAAACTGAAACCTTTTACAAAGAATCATGTCTGCATTAACCACAATACTTGTGGTCAGAATGCAAACAAAAAACATAATCTGATAATTTATGCATTGTCTTTGAAACTGATTGGTCCACACCAGAGACAGCTTTCTTTTGAGCCTCGTCTCAAAACGGTGTAAGACCAGAGGACGCCAAAAGGCGTGCTAAGGCTTGTAGAGTCTGACCAAGGCACCTCTGAGATGCTTATCGTTTGGTGTTAATGTCTGGTGTGTTGAGTAGGCCTCGTTTTTTTTTTATTTCGGCTCCAATCTGCTGTGCTTACACCCATTGAACTTGTCACCCCAGGTAAGGTGGCCGCCGCCACCTGCATGTACAATAGACACGTGCCGTATGAAGCGGCCATCTTACCTGGGGGGGGGGGACAAACCCAACAGGTCACGTGGGGTCTCTTCTCGGAGGGTGCCTCTGCGTCTGCCCCGGGGAGCGGTGGCGTAGCGGTTAGCGCGCTGCGCTACAAACCCGGCGACCCGAGTTCGATTCCCGCTCACGACCAACACCCAGTGACGATTATCTGAACCAGTCCTGGGCTACCCCAAGGTCGACTCAGTCTCAAATGAATACCCGGTGCATTGTGTAAACATCGCCACTGGGGAGACAAGGGCGGCCGAGCTAGGTGCTGGCCACCTACCACCTCGTGTGCCGTGCCGGGCTTTATAGGTGCTCGCTATCAGCACTTGTCTCAACATTGTTCAGGCGAAAGGGGGGGATCCATGTCGTTTTTGTCCGTCTCACAAGCACCACCACGTGACTTCACGTCTCCCCTTTGTCACACAGATGATACGTGTGTATATTTGAACTTCTTTCGCACCGTACGTAGTTAGCCATGCTCGTTGGAGGTGCGGGGGAAGGACAGAAATCTCAATTTAAAAAGTAGTTCTAAAGACATTAGTTTTCCATAAAAAAAGTTTGAAAGTGTATAGCACCAGTGGCTTCCTAATATCGGAAGCAAGAGCGTTCCAGACGGCCGCAGAAGCGCATCTGAAAAACGCGGAATGCATGGACCATCTTTGTTCGATGGTTAGCCAAAAAGCACTGCTTGCGAGGATGCCCGGAGTTTGCTTGACAATGGCTTATGCTCCTTGCTTTTCAGGCCAGAGACACGGAGCCGGCACCACTGAGACGCTGGGTTCAAATCGGGATTTCGGCCGCCCGTGATTGAACCGCGTTCTCACGTGTGGCGAATTGGTTGTCTCAACCACATATCATTCAATGAACCGCTATTCCACCGTCACCATCATCACACCTGGCTTAAGCTTTGCTGCGTCTACATCAGGTGTTACATCTCATGGCTCATGAACTCAAAATGTGTTTTTCTGGATGTGAACACTTGTCTGTCATAAGTGCTGCCCCAAATCTAATAACGCAGTGTGTGTGTATTGCCCTGGTACGTGCCCAATCCCATCAAATCTCAGAAGCTAAGCAGGTCTGAGCCTGGATAGTACTCGGATTGGGGGGGGATGACTACCAGCGTGTGCCAATTACCGGAGTCCTTAGCTCATCGTACAGTGAGGGAAAAAGTATTTGATCCCCTGCTGATTTTGTACGTTTGCCCACTGACGAAAAAATGATCAGTCTATAATTTTAATGGTGGGTTTATTTGAACAGTGAGAGACAGAATAACAACAAAATCCATAAAAACGCATGTCAAAAATGTTATAAATTGATTTGCATTTTAATGAGGGAAATAAGTATTTGACCCCTCTGCAAAACATGACTTAGTACTTGGTGGCAAAACCCTTGTTGGCAATCACAGAGGTCAGACGTTTCTTGTAGTTGGCCACCAGGATTGCACACATCTCAGGAGGCATTTTGTCCCACTCCTCTTTGCAGATCTTCTCCAAGTCATTAAGGTTTCGAGGTTGACGTTTGGCAACTCGAACCTTCAGTTCCCTCCACAGATTTTCTATGGGATTAAGGTCTGGAGACTGGCTAGGCCACTCCAGGACCTTAATGTGCTTCTTCTTGAGCCACTCCTTTGTTGCCTTGGCCGTGTGTTTTGGGTCATTGTCATGCTGGAATACGCATCCACGACCCATTTTCAATGCCTTGGCTGAGGGAAGGAGGTTCTCACTCAAGATTGGATGGTACATGGCCCCGTCCATCGTCCCTTTGATACGGTGAAGTTGTCCTGTCCCCTTAGCAGAAAAACACGCCCAAAGCATAATGTGTTCCACCTCCATGTTTGACGGTGGGGATGGTGTTCTTGGGGTCATAGGCAGCATTCCTCCTCCAAACACGGCGAGTTGAGTTGATGCCAAAGAGCTCCATTTTGGTCTCATCTGACCACAACACTTTCACCCAATTGTCCTCTGCATCATTCAGATGTTCATTGGCAAACTTCAGACGGGCATGTATATGTGCTTTCTTGAGCAGGGGGACCTTGCGGGCGCTGCAGGATTTCAGTCCTTCACGGCGTAGTGTGTTACCAATTGTTTTCTTGGTGACTATGGTCCCAGCTGCCTTGAGATCTTTGACAAAATCCTCCCGTGTAGTTCTGGGCTGATTCCTCACCGTTCTCATGATCATTGCAACTCCACGAGGTGAGATCTTGCATGGAAGCCCCAGGCCGAGGGAGATTGACAGTTCTTTTGTGTTTCCTCCATTTGCGAATAATCGCACCAACTGTTGTCACCTTCTCACCAAGCTGCTTGGCAATGGTCTTGTAGCCCATTCCAGCCTTGTGTAAGTCTACAATCTTGTCCCTGACATCCTTGGAGATCTCTTTGGTCTTGGCCATGGTGGAGAGTTTGGAATCTGATTGATTGATTGCTTCTGTGGACAGGTGTCTTTTATACAGGTAACAAGCTGAGATTAGGAGCACTCCCTTTAAGAGTGTGCTCCTAATCTCAGCTCGTTACCTTATAAAAGACACCTGGGAGCCAGAAATCTTTCTGATTGAGAGGGGGTCAAATACTTATTTCCCTCATTAAAATGCAAATCAATTTATAACATATTTGACATGCGTTTTTCTGGATTTTGTTGTTATTCTGTCTCTCACTGTTCAAATAAACCTACCATTAAAATTATAGACTGATAATTTCTTTGTCAGTGGGCAAACGTACAAAATCAGCAGGGGATCTAATACTTTTTTACCCTCACTGTAGATTCCACCCCAGCGCTGACACCGCCTCGATTGTAACGCCACTCATTTTATCTTCGCGGGTGAAAGATGTCCACGTGCGTTTTGGTTGTTATGGTGAAAACAAAAAAAACCACTGCATTTAAAGTTACTGTACGTTATTAAACGAGCTTTCCACTCAAGTCGCGTGCTGTTTTGTGAATGTTAACTGCTCAAGCGCTTTGAAGTTTATCCATTAGGGAGCAGTGGCTGTAGAGTTACGGGCCGGTGTTTCAGGTTGAACGAACCATAATACTTTACCACTCAGTCTACGTGATGCCCTTTGGTGGCCACGCGTGTAGTACCACAATTGACAATCTATGGCTACGTGATGCCCCCTTGGTGACCACGCGTGTAGTACCACAATGTTTACAATCCATGGCTACGTGATGCCCTCTTGGTGACCACGCGTGTAGTACCACAATGTTTACAATCCATGGCTACGTGATTCCCTCTTGGTGGCCACGCGTGTAGTACCACAATGTTTACAATCCATGGCTACGTGATGCCCTCTTGGTGGCCACGCGTGTAGTACCACAATGTTTACAACCCATGGCTACGTGATGCCCTCTTGGTTACCACGCGTGTCGTACTACAATGTTAACAATCCATGGTTATGTGATGTCCACTTGGTGACCACGCGTGTAGGACCACAATGTTTACAATCCATGGCTACGTGATTCCCTCTGGTGACCACGCGTGTAGTACCACAATGTTTACAATCCATGGTTATGTGATGTCCACTTGGTGACCACGCGTGTAGGACCACAATGTTTACAATCCATGGCTACATGATTCCCTCTTGGTGGCTACGCGTGTAGTACAACAATGTTTACAATCCATGGCTACGTGATGCCCTCTTGGTGGCCACGCGTGTAGTACCACAATGTTTACAATCCATGGCTACGTGATTCTCTCTGGTGACCACGCGTGTAGTACCACAATTTTGACAATCCATGGCTACGTGATGTCCTCTTGGTTACCACGCGTGTAATACCACAATGTTTACAACCCATGGTTATGTGATGCCCTCTTGGTGACCACGCGTGTAGTACCACAATGTTTACAATTCATGGCTACGTGATGCCCTCTTGGTGACCACGTGTGTAGTACCACAATGTTTACAATTCATGGCTACGTGATGCCCTCTTGGTGGCCACGCGTGTAGTACCACGATGTTTACAACCCATGGCTACGTGATGCCCTCTTGGTGACCACGCGTGTAGTACCACAATGTTTACAATCCATGGCTACGTGATGTCCTCTTGGTGACCACGCGTGTAGTACCACAATGTTTACAATCCATGGCTACGTGATGTCCTCTTGGTGGCCACGCGTGTAGTACCACAATGTTTACAATCCATGGCTTCGTGATTCCCTCTGGTGACCACGCGTGTAGTACCACAATGTTTACAATCCATGGCTACGTGATGTCCTCTTGGTGGCCACGCGTGTAGTACCACAATGTTTACAATCCATGGCTACGTGATGTCCACTTGGTGACCACGCGCGTCGGACCACAACGTTTACAATCCATGGTTATGTGATGCCCTCTGCTGGCCACGTAGTACCACAATTTTTACAATACATAGCTACGTGATGCCCTCTGCTGGCCACCTGTAGTGACGCATCTTTTACAATGCGATACCAACACCCGCCATTCGCCACCAAGTGACGTCACCACGGCGCCTGTGCCAGGCCAGGTGCACTTTGAGGCCATCACGTGAAGTGTCGAAGACTCGCTGCTGACAGCAGACCCAGCAGGTGCCATGGGTTGGCTGACTGAGATGATCGGCAGAGACGAACCAGCTCTATCCCCCCCCCCCCATACTGTGCCAACTTTACAATGCACAACCCCACACTCGCACGACGCCGTTGGACGCTTAGTAGGAGTGGCGTCGCCACCGGCACTTAACCCCTTCGTACCTATGTAGCCTTAACTCTCACCCAAACCCTTTAACGTAAACCCTTGAACGCTGACGCGTATCCCTGACCCCGTACACACCCAGGGAGGCGTGGAGAGGTGGCGATTGGGGGGCCGTCCATAAATGACGTCACGCGATCTTGGACGATTTTTGACCCCCCCCCCCCATCGTCACACGGCGTTACAAAAAGTCAGACCCCCCCTCAAATATGACGTCACAAAGCTCTGCCCCCCCGCCCCCCCCCCCAAAATAAAACATGCTTCAAATGGCTTTAAACTATTGTCTTTGTAGTGCGTATTTAATGTGCCGCTACACTCTGATGTTGTCGGAGAAAACAGTTATTAAAAAGTCTATTTAATTAAGTAGAACGTGTTGTCTATATTTATTTAAAGTTGCGCATTTTGATGTGACGTCACATTTCTCACCCCCCCCCCCTCTCGTCACACATCGTCACAAATGTCTGACCCCCCCCCCCTCTAGGTGCGTGACGTCATTTATGGACGGCCCCTGGGCCCCAGGTTCTTAGACCCCGGATACTTTTCGTATGCACGTTTAAAATAAGATTAAAAAAACCCCGCCCAGAGAAGCCTCACTAATTACAGGATATAATGCTCAGACCACGACATTCGTTTTGCAGGGGATGTCTCAGGCCCAGCAGGTGCCCGTCATAGCATACGGGGCCATTGTCCGAAACGTCGCCTATGTGTGGGGTTTTTGTTCTTTGTTTTGTGCCTGTGCACCAATGCCAGCAGAAGCGCATCGACACCCGATCGTGTGAATTAATCTTGGACATCCGGTGTAAGTTGCGCCGTTGTAGGCACCCCCCCCCCCTTGATTGAGCAAATGGAATAGCCCGCGTCGATCGACTCGCTCGTCTCGCCGGACCGTACCAACTCGGGCCTTGCGGGCGGAGAGGGGGGTGATGGGGAGTCTTCTTCTCTCATAGCGCGTCTGTCAGCCACGGTTCCTCGACTGCATTTGTTTTGTCCACAAATCGTGAGGTAAATGTCACACCTACAGGGCTCGTAATTACACCACCCCCCCTCACCCTTGGATTGAGAGGGGGCTCGTAAATTTCAGATCGAGGGCGCTCTGCCCCTAACCTTCGTAGGCGACATAACGGCGAAGTGCTGCTGCTGCTTAAGCTGCTGCTGCTGCTGCCCTCATGCATATCGCTTAATCTTCCCCCGGCATCGTTTCTTCAACGTGCATTTTAAACGTGTAATGTACGTTTATAATGACGCGCGGTCTACGCTGTCGTTGTCCGTGTTCCACACACACACGCGTAGATGTTAATATTAAATCATTGCTGCAAACAGTCGCGCGAATGACAAAGTGCCAAATGATGGGCGAGAGGGCGTGGGGAGGAGAAGCAGACGGAGCCCGCGAGCTCCGTGGCCCCCCCGGGGCGGCCGCGAGCTCCGTGGCCCCGGGGCGGCCCGCGAGCTCCGTGGCCCCGGGGCGGCCCGCGAGCTCCGTGGCCCCGGGGCGGCCCGCGAGCTCCGTGGCCCCCCCGAGGAGCCCGCGAGCTCCGTGGCCCCCCCGAGGCGGCCGCGAGCTCCGTGGCCCCCCCGGGGCTGTCGCTCTCCGCGGTGCTGGGCGCCGTGGCGACAGGCGGCCGGAGGATAGCAGCGGCGCCGAGTCGGGTTGGGTGAGCCCCCTCGTTCACCGAGTGATGGCACACACACACACAAATACCCCACCGGGTTATAACAACACCTCCTCCTGCTGATGCTGCTGTTACTGTCGCTGCTGCTGCTGCTTGCTGCTTCATAGCGACAGCTGTTTATCTGCGGTGTGTTGATGATGGGTGGCTGTGTGGGGAGCGGTAGTGTAGCGGTGAGCTGCTGTGCTGCGCTGCGTGACCCCCCGCGGCCCCGGGTTCGATTCGCGCTCGCGGCCAACAACACCGGTGGCGATTATTTGAACCGGTCCTGGGCCTCCCCCTAGGTCGACTCGGCCTCAAATGAGTACCTGGTGCGGTGTTGTAAACATCGCCACTGCGGAGACAAAGGCGGCCGGGCGTGGTGTTGGCCACCCACCCCCTCGCGTGCCGTGCCGGCCCACATAGGTGCTCGCTAACAGCACTTGCCCCTACAGTCTGTTACAGGCTATACGGGGGATCATTGTTTTTGTGTGATGTGTGGCGCGTGATGGATGGGTGTGTATGATGATCGGTGTGTGATGATGGGTGGTGTGTGATGTATGGTGTGTGATGATGGGTGGTATGTGATGTGTGGCGTGTGATGGGTAGGGTGGGTGTGTGATGTATAGTGTGTGATGATGAATGGGGTGTGATGATGGGTGGGTGTGTGATGATGGGTGAGTTGTGTTTGTGTATGTTGAAGTAATTTCCCACCGTACGTAGCCAACCGTACTAATCGGAGGTGTGTGTTGATTGGTGGTATAATTATGATGATGGGTGGTGTAGGGGGCACAGGTGGTGCATCGGCCAGTCATCTCAGTCAGTCGACCCATGGCACATGGGTCTGTCCCGTGACCTCCTGCCAGAGGGCATTCGACACTTCACGTGGCCTTTAACGTGCACATAGCTTGGCACAAGCGCCATGGTGACGTGAACGCTACTTCGTGGTCAATAGCGGTTGTTGTGTGATGATCAGTGGTGTGTGGTGATGGGTGGGGTGTGATGATGGGTGTGGTGATGGGTGGGGTGTGATGATGGTTGATGTGTGATGATGGGTGGGGTGTAATGATGGGTGAGGTGATTAGTGGGGTGTGATGATGGGTGATGTGTGGTGATGGGTGGGGTGTGATGATGGGTGTGGTGTGATGATGGGTAGGGTATGATGATGGTTGATGTGTGATGATGGGTGGGGTGTGATGATGGGTGTTGTGATGAGTGGGGTGTGATGATGGTTGATGTGTGATGATGGGTGGGGTGTGATGATGGGTATGGTGTGGTAATGGGTGAGATGTGATGATGGGTGATGTGTGGTAATGGGTGGGATGTGATGATGGGTGTGGTGTGATGATGGTTGATGTGTGATGATGGGTGGGGTGTGATGATGGGTGTTGTGATAAGTAGGGTGTGATGATGGGTGGGGTGTGATGATGGGTGCTGTGTAGTGATGGGTGGGGTGTGATGATGGGTAGGGTGTGATGATGGTTGATGTGTGATGATGGGTGGAATGTGATGATGGGTGGGGTGTGACGATGGGTGGGGTGTGATGATGGGTGGGGTGTGATGATGGGTGTTGTGATAAGTAGGGTGTGATGATGGGTGGGGTGTGATGATGGGTGCTGTGTAGTGATGGGTGGGGTGTGATGATGGGTAGGGTGTGATGATGGTTGATGTGTGATGATGGGTGGAATGTGATGATGGGTGGGGTGTGACGATGGGTGGGGTGTGATGATGGGTGGGGTGTAGTGATGGGTGGGGTGTGATGATGGGTGGGGTGTGATGATGGGTGGGGTGTGATGATGGATGATGTGTGACGATGGGTGGGGCGTGATGATGGGTATGGTGTGATGATGGGTGGGGTGTGATGATGGGTGGGGTGTGATGATGAGTGGTGTGTGATGATGAGTGGTATGTGACGTAGGGTGGTGGGTCATGATGTGCGATGTCATGCTATCTGTAATATGATGTCTGATGCTGTCAGCTGTTGCACACCTGTCTGCTGCAGAATGCTCTCTTCTGATGTCCGACTTCAGCGATTCTTGCCCTCGACTCAACAACATCAACTCTCTGATCAATGCTTTTGTATATTCAGCTGACATCATCTATTACCTGCTGCCTCAATCGCGACGATACCTGCTGTGCCCTGCTGTCACGTTCTGTCCGCTCTTGACCGTTGGGGCTGCTGCACTCAGGCCACTGCCCTTGCGGCTGTTCCGCGAAGATGGACGACCAGACCCAGGATGGCGTCGCCGTGCCAGGTTCGTCGACCTCACCAACGGCAAAAGATGCACAGAACCCAACCACGCAGCATCCAGCAGTCCCTTTGGGCGAGGGGCGACGGTTGTCTTCAAGCAAATTCACACTTTCCGCGGGCGGTGGAGCGGTGGCGCGGTGGTTAGCACACTCCGCTAGAGGGATGCTCGTGGGCTAGGGTTGGGGTCCGTCTGTCGCAGTCGCGACTCCTTCATTGTTTCAAAACGTTCGTCTGAGACGGTGGCAAAGTTGGTGCCTCAGAATTCCGGGTGCTGGGCCAGGCACCACCGAGGTCCTGGGTTCGAATCCCTCAGGGTGCCGGCTGCAATGAAGATGGGTTCTCGAGTGACGACATCGCACATGGTGATGTCATCCCCCTGCATGCCGACGATCAATACTTTCAGTGCAGATTTTAGTTGTGTGTCCATTATCACCAAGTTTTGGAAAACTGATCAAACCTGGCCGGATTTCTCCACCACTGCGAATCTTCAATGGCAACGCAACTTCACGTCGCCGTGCGCCGTCGCTCCGAGAGTTACAACGGACGGAGCGAACGCATTTACGCTTCGCGTGCGGGTGGGAAGCGTGACGCACGGTGTCTCCCCCGGTAGACGCGACGGCGGTGGTGGTGGTGGAGGAGAAGGAGCAGGATGGGGTGGTGGTCGAGGAGCAGGAGGAGGTGCCGTCCGAGGAGGTGCTGCGCCTACGGCGGGAGCTCGCCAGCGCTCGCGAGGTCGCGCGCAGCAGCGAGATGAAATGTCGTCAGCTGCAGGGTGATGGCCAGCACCGGGACACGGGGAGACGCGGGGACACCAAGGGGACGCAACGGGTTCATGGAGACACGGGGGTCACGGTGGGGACATAGGAGGGTGATGGACACAAGAGAGAGAGAGATAGAGACACGCAGAGACACGGGGGGGTGGGGGTCAGGGCATGGAGGGACATGGGAGATGTCATGGAATATGGGGCCATGGGGAGAAAGAGGGGACACGGAAGGGCACGAGGGGCATAGGACGATGTGTGATGCAGAGAGACGTGGACATGGGGGTGGGAATACACGGGAGACACAAGGACATGGGGGGGCACAGGGAGACACGGGGTGGGGGAGGCAGGTAAGAGCACAACAATTACAAGACAACGATGGATGTTGCTGTACGACTACCATTTACTGCCCAACACCTAACCCCGCGGCAGCCGATTCATAGTGGTCAACCCATTCCCACCGATCCAGATGATCTCGGGATTATCGCCAAGAGCTGTGCGGCCTCCACAGCAGCCCCTGTGGGCAGACAGGACCGCAGTGGGGACATTTGACTCCAATTCTGCTAAGCGCTGGAGACAGTGCCGAATTAAGCCAGTGCGGGGCCTGTAGCATATGTTATGAAGGGGCCCAAACTAAAAAAGAACACATTCAAACACATACATTTTTTACTTGCACAGTAAAGTAATTGTATTTTTTCATTTGCTATACAGCCAGAGAATATAACAAATCGCTAACCTTAAACACCCAGTCGTTCGTAAAAGTTGAAGGCAGTATAGTACTTTAGCAATAGAGCAAATGCAGATTCACTGAACCGGAATTGATAGCTTGAAAGCATTTAGCGTGAGGCCCTTGAAAGTGGGAGGCCCGTAGCATATGCTACTTTTGTTACGAGGATAATCCGGTACTGGTGAGTGTGTATCGCTGTGCGTGTGAGAGTGTATAGTTATGTGTGAGAGTGTATTGTTTTGTTTGTGAGAGTGCGAGTGTATCACCATGCACGTGTGGGGAGCGGTAGTGCAACGGTCCGCGCGCTGCGCTACGAACCCAGCGACCCGAGTTCGATTCCTGCTCACGGTCAACACCCAGTGCCGATTATCTGAACCGGTCATGGGACTCCCCGAGGCCGACGCAGCCTCAAATGAGTACCTGGTGTGGTGTGTAAACATCGTCACTGGGGAGACAAAGGCGCCCGGGCGTGGTGTTGGCCGTGCCGGCCTTCACAGTTCCTCACTAACAGCACTTGTCCCAACAGTCTTTTACAGACTATACGGGGATCTTTGTCTTTGGTGCTCACCAACAGCACTTGTCCCAAGAGTCTATTACAGACCTTACAGGGTTCTTTGTGGCGCAGCAGGGAGATGAAATGTCGTCAGCTGCAGGGTGACGGCCAGCACCGGGGCACGGGGAGACGCGGGGACACCAAGGGGACGCAACGGGTTCATGGAGACACGGGGGTCACGGTGGGGACGTAGGAGGGTGATGGACACAAGAGAGAGAGAGATAGAGACACGCAGGGACACGGGGGGGGGTGGGTGGGGGTGGTCGGGGCATGGAGGGACATGGGAGATGTCATGGAATATGGGGACACGGGGAGAAAGAGGGGACACGGAAGGGCACGAGGGGCATAGGACGATGTGTGATGCAGAGAGACGTGGAAATGGGGGTGGGAATACACGTGTGTAAGAGTGTCTCTCTCTGTGTGTGAGTGCATCTGTTTTACGAAGTGTCCCCGTGTCTCTGTGCATCTCCTTGTGAGTGTGAGGTAATTCATAGGTCTGCGGAGAGTGGTGGCGCAGTGGTTAGCACACTGCCTTACGAAGCCAGCCACCTGAGTTGGATTCTTGGCCACGGCCAACATCTGTAGCAAGTCCTATTGTAGTGTCGTAGGTCTCTCCTTCCTTCTTCTCGAGGCTAGTGTGTGTGTGCGGGTGGTGTGCGGCGCACACACACTCAGTCAGAGACGAGGTCGTCGCAGCGGGCACCGTCCTTCGCTTTATTATCTCTCGCGTTCACGCCACCAACTCCGGCCCCTTCTCTCCCTCCCACGACCACGCTGCCGTACGACCCGGCCCAGACACGACCATGTCCGTGTTGCACCGACGGCGTCGAACGAGACAGCCAACCACTGTCCGGCCACGCAAGGATCGGGCGAAGGTGGCAGCGATGACAGCGACAGCGAGACGAGTCCACTCCCAGAACCGGCAGCCCGGAGCTCTAGCTTTCCGCTGCTTTTATTCCCCTCGGTGCGGCTTGGCTCCGCCTTCTCGAACCCACCAGAGGGTTCTAGGATCCTCCCTACGAGGTCTACCGTGACCCTTGCCCCAGTTCCTCCGCCCTGCCGGCACACCCGCGTATATCCTGAACGGCGTGTGCGCTAAGTGTCCACCTGCAGTTACAGCTGCTGTACAGCAGTCAGTGCTGTGTCACTAAATTATCAAAACTTATTCTGGGCCTTCTCCATCTCGGTGAACTTAAATGATAACTTCATGGGTTGTGTACACATCAGCACTGGGAAGACGAAGACTGCCAGCCGTATTATCCAATAGGTCACAGTAGCCACTGTGCCTAGGGCCTACGAAAACTAAAGGGTCTACGAAATAAATAAATGTGCTTGCATGATAAAAATGTAAACCAAGATATCTTCTTGCATAAATATATTTATATCGCAGGGATAGGTAAAGTGTTTATACAAAGAGGCATGTCAATCGTTATTTTTTTCTTCATCATAAGGTGAGAAAAATTAACACCGGAGATGAACTTTTCGAGATTTTTTTGTAAATTGCAAAATTATCAACAGCATCTTCAAATGGTGTTTATCGCACATTCTCGACAGAGGGCAGTGCAAGGGAATGCGAGGCGGCGTTGCTGTGCTACACCTGAGACAAGCATGGTGACAGCGTCGTTTGTAGTAACATGGGGCAGCAACAGTGCCAGCTTGTAATAAGTGATCACTGAAGACCTACGAAACAGAAGTGCCTTGGGCCTACAAGAACCTTCATCCGGCCCTGCTTACCACACGACCCGCTCCTGCTCCGCTCCGACTTTAACAGGCGCCCGCAAACATTGCTCGCTCCATCGGTGTGTGTAGAGCACGCGGTGGCGGCGGTGATCTCTCCGTGTGTTCTTGCGTGTCCCCGCTTGGCAGTGCTGCTAGAGGAGGAGCAGTTCCAGTCGGCGCAGAAGGCAGAGGGCTACCTGCGGCAGATCCAGAGCCTGCAAGGTGACGTACTGGGAGGGTCCGTCACTCCATCTCCTCTGCTGCCCCCCCCTGTACACTACTTTCCCTTCACCCGGAACACCTGGGTTGCTCACAGGTTTGGGACGCTTGCCCTCAAGCGTCAATCTGCTGGGCGGCTTGTAGCATCGTTCACCATGATTGACGTAGACCCGGTTCAATAGGTGCTCGTGAACAGCACCCGCTCAACCGGTCTCTGCGTGCATGCGTTGCGATGCACGCACATCTAGGAAGCGTTAGTGCAAGTGGTGAGTGCACTGCGCTACAAATCCTACGACCCCAGTTCGATTCCCGCTCAAAGCTAACACCAGTGACGATTATATCTTGAGCCTGGGCATCCCCTCGGTCGACTCAGCCTTAAATGAGTACCCGGTGCGATGTGTACACATCGGCACTGGAGAGACAAAGGCGGCCGGGGCACGGCGCTAGTTACCGCACCAACCTCGAGTGGCGTCACGGTGGCTAGGAGATGTTAACTACCTCGCCTGGTTTACATGAGGTCGTGGGTACGATCCCAACACCGACGTCTGTTGTATATTTGGAGTTTGCGTGTCTCTCTCTCTTTCCCCGTGGTCGCTTGAATTTTTCTCCGGGTCCTCCGGTTTTTCCCTCCACATTTAGAATCAACATTCACGCGTTCAGAGTATTTGGCTGCTATACATGTCCACGTGATGATAAGCCCACTTCATTGCATTTGTGATGGCCAGGTCGCTTCTGAAAAAAAGACCTAGATAGCTCAGTAGGCCTTACCTGTTCAAATAAAAAAAAAATTATTTCGCGTGCGCCGTGTCGCTCTTCTTGGTATCCGCTGCTCGCCAACCGCACGCTCGCACCGCCCAGCGTGCGAGCGTGCTGCTACACGGGGGACCTTTTTGTCTCTGTGCGCTGCGTCCCAGCCGAGCTGCGCGCCGTGGGCCAGGAGATGGAGGAGCTCCGCGAGCACCGCGAGGGAGCCATCTCCGCCGAGCGTGACGGGGCCGCCACCGTCGAGGACGAGATGGCGGCGCTGAGCGCCACCGCCGAGCAGGTGTCGGCCGAGCAGGAGGCCGACATCGCCGAGCTGCAGGTGCGGGGCGTGGTGGGGGGGGGGGGGGCTGCGGCTGGGTGGGGGGCAACAGCGGGCCGATGGGGTGGGCACAGCAGGAGGGGGGGGGACACAACGGGGGGGGGGCGGGGGCACAGCGAAGCGGGGGGGGGGGAGGGCGCGACGGGGTGGGGGGGATACAGCAGGGGGGTGGCACAATGGTGGGGGCCACAGTGGGGGGGACAGGAGGGAGGGGGGCCACACCGCAGGGGGGGGCACGGTGGGATGGGGGGCCACAGCATGGCCATTCCCACTCGTGAAGAGTCGTCCACGGCGTAGCCCGCCCGCTGTGGGTCTCCGTCGCAAGGATCGCAGTGGGGGCTCCTCGTCCGATTTCCCGGCGTGGTTGGACCACCTGCGCACTCGATAGCCATGCCGCTGGGCCGTGGCCGGGTGGCTGAGGGCTCGAGATGCAAAGCTGGCACCCGAGTTAGATTCCAGTCCACGACCAACATCCGTGGCCATTAACATCTCAACATGTCCTAGCCCTTCTAGATTTGAAGTTTTCGTGACTGCAAGGATCCATACTCTTTGGTTTTGTCGGTAAACTCACGTAGGTGAAAAATAATAACTCTCTTCATACGCTTCAGTAACTTTGCTGGAGCAGTCACACCTGAAGACGGTTGCTTGTGTTGCCTCCGAAACGTCGTGATTTAATTTATTTGTCTTCATTTTAATTAATTTTATTTTTTACCTACGTGACTTTACCGAAAAAACCAAAGAGTATGTCCTAGCCCCCCCACCCGTGTTGGCTCACGAGCGTAGGATGGGGCTGTGCCAGCCGGAACAGGTGCTCACTAACAGCACTTGCTCAGAGGTCCAGAGGTGTTGAGCTGGCACCGCTGAGATGCTGGGCCCAAATCTTGTCTTCTCGAGCGGGACGAGTTGGCGGTCTCGGCTTGAGCCTCAAGGACTTTGCGCGTGAAAACGTGACTTCGTTAAAACAGCGTGCCCAGTGTTGTCTTGGCAGCGCCTTGAGATGGGGTCACGTCAGCACGCCAGGAGGCAAAGAATCCACGTCGCACCGCAATGAACGCGCTGCAATGATGAGCACGCGCGCGCGTGTGCGCATGCGTGCGTGCGGTGGCAGGAGGAGCTGGAGCGGGCTCGGATGGAACTCGAGAGAGCGTGCGGCTCCACTCGCTCGGCACCACCGGGAGATAGCGAGGAGACCCAAGTGGACGAGCAGGTCGCCCAGCTGAGAGGTGCGCCCCCCCCCCCCAATCCCCTCCACCAACGCACGCCCGCACCGCAAACCATTTGCCCACCGAGTCGACCAATCGACCCGTGGACCGGACTCAATTACCGGGGGGCCCCTCTAAAAAGGGGGCCGCCACACCCCCCCATTATCCCACCTCCCGAAGATGGGAAACCCCCTACCAGCCATGCCCAGTGTGAAGCGGCCAACGATGACATCGCCAAGTGGCACACGTCGGACTGACGGTCTGAGCAAAGCCGCTCCGTTTTGAGTGCAGCCGAAGACATCGCCACTGTCTGCGCCCCCCCCTCCCCGTCGCCCCCAATTACCCCCCTCAAATGCCCCCCCCCACCAACGACCTCCCCCCTCGACCCCCCCCCCCCCCACGACGACACGCAGAGTACTTTGAGCGCGCCGAGAGGGAGTGCCAGCGGCTGAAAGCGGAGTTCCAGAGAGCGCAGGACGAGAAGTCGGAGCTCAGGGGACAGCTCGCACAACTCAAGCTAGATCTACTCAGGTGCTGCTTCCTCCTTCTCCTCACTGCTCACCACTCACTCATTACCCATCACCCCTCGCCCATCAACCATCACTGCTCACCCATCAACAATCACTGCTCACCCATCAACAATCACTGCTCACCCATCAACCATCACTGCTCACCCATCAACAATCACTGCTCACCCATCAACCATCACTGCTCACCCATCAACCATCACTGCTCACCCATCAACCATCACTGCTCACCCATCAACCATCACACCTCGTCCACCAACCATCACTCACCCATCAACAATCACTGTTCGCCCATCAACCATCACTGCTCACCCATCAACAATCACTGCTCGTCTATCAACCATCACTGCTCGCCCATCAACCATCACTGCTCACCCATCAACCATCACACCTCGTCCACCAACCATCACTCACCCATCAACAATCACTGTTCGCCCATCAACCATCACTGCTCACCCATCAACCATCACTCACCCATCAACCATTACTGCTCACCCATCAACCATCACTCACCCATCAACCATCACTGCTCACCCATCAACCATCACTGCTCACCCATCAACCATCACTCACCCATCAACCATCACTGCTTGCCCATCAACCATCACTGCTCGCTCACCAACCATCACTACTCACCCATCAACAATCACTGCTCGCCCACCAACCATCACTGCTCACATATCAACCATCAGTACTCGCCCTTTAACCATCACTGCTCACCCATCAACCATCACTTACCCATCAACCATCACTGCTCCCCCATCACTCATCACTGCTCACCCATCAACCATCACTTACCCATCAACCATCAGTACTCGCTCACCAACCATCACTGCTCACCCATCAACCATCACCCCAACTGCCAGGCTCCACGCCAACACTCGTTTCTGGGCAGCTCCTGCACTAATCGTGACGGAACCACCCCATAATTCCACCGTTGGCCATTCCTGTAGAGACTTGAGACTGTCCTCCGGGAGGATGTCTCATGTTAAACGCCTCTTCGCTTCTCTTGAGGTGGCACTTTATTGAAGACGCGTTCACTCGACGTCAGGCAGAGTCCCCCCACTGCAAGAGCCCCGAGTCTCCCGCGCATCTCCCCCTTATATACCGACCGAGGCCACGCCCCCCTTCCCGAACCTTCTCGCTGACTTTGGACGCTCACTCCACCAGCAGACTCCACCGCCCTCTTCCGTCACTTCTCAATCATTCCCGTAGCCACCAGTCCCTTCGCAATCACAGCTGACACCCCTGTCATTACCTCCCGTGGCCACTAGTGCATTCGCACTGCAGGCTGACTTCCCTGTCATTACCTCCCGTGGCCACTACTCCATTCGCACTGCAGGCTGACAACAACACTCAACCACTCGCCCACTTATTCACCCTCTCACCCACGCACTCGCCACACTGCAGGTCACCTCACTGCCCTTTCTGCATCTTCCCTCGCACTGCCCCACTGGAATTCCCTCTCACACCATCATCATCATCATCATCGTCTCTTTCCCAAAATCTCTTTTAACCTCGCTCGCTCCAATAAATGCGTTCGTAACTCTATTACGATGTTGGTGGTGCTGCTGCTTGTTGCTGGCCGCTTGGCATTTTGTACCACCTGTGTGCCCCTGCTTTAGCAAGGTCTTTAAGATGGGAACATTGACCCGACGGGGACCACGTGACCCCCCTCCCCAACCTTCCTCCGGGCAGCACGAAGGAGCGGAACACGCAGCTGTGCTCCGAGGTGGCGGAGCTGCGCGCCGACACGGAGCGCGTGGACAGCTCGGCCGGGCTCGGTGACGCCAGCGAGAGGGAGGGCGAGGGCGACGGCCCCGGCATGGAGCTCAGCGACAGGGACGGGGCCTCGGGCACGGAGCTCCGCAACAGGCTGCGTGCCACGCGCGATCGCGCCCAGTTCATGCAGGAGGAGGTAACGCGGGGTCGGGCGCGCGAGCGTCGTTGCGTTTCGCCGTTCGGTTGGCTTCGAGCTCGGAGGCCAGAATCAGAGCCGGAATATTTAATTACGTCTACTGGAGGAAAGCCAATTAGCTGTAAAGCTTTTTGTCACAGATGTCCAGCCGTCTCACAGATGTCCAGTCGGCTAGAGATGCCGAGAGTTGGCACCGCTGAGACGGTGTGTAAAGCTGCCTTGTGTCTGGGAGACATGGGTGAACTGGCAGCCCCTCTCACCGTCAGAGCCACCTACGTGCGCATAGCCACGACAACTCTATCGCTCAGAGCAACCTCTTCACTCTTTCTGATCGTGGCGTAGGCTGCTGCTGCTCACAGGCCCTGCCCACTATATGTTGAGTCGAGCACAAAGCAAGAATATATTGGAGAAAGAAAAATCCAGATTTTCACAAATCTTATTGGACACCGGGACAGCCTTCCTGAACCAAACTGGGCTGTCCCATGACTCTATTCCATCACCTCCCTCTAACGATGCTTGGATACTTCACGTGGCATTGAAGTGCACTTAGCCTGGCTCAGTGATGAATGGCGGTTGTTGGTGTTGTTGTACGCCTTCGCTAACAGCACTTTCCCCAGCAGTCTGTTGAGGCGGCAGAGTAGTGGCACAGCAATAGCGTAGATGTCTCACAGCAAGGGGGGTCTGGGTTCGATTCCCGACTCAGGCACTGCTTTCTGTGTGGAATTTGTGTGTTCGCCCCCTGTCCTGCATGGGTTTCCCCAGTTTCTCTCCGATTTCCCCTCCTATATAGATAAACCCACACACACAGTGGAACTGGTATTGGCCAAACATCCTAATGCTGAACATTTACCTGCACCATCGCTGCACCATCGCTGCACCATCGCTGCACCATCGCTGCACAGCAGCGACAGCAACATCGCACTCTACAGCGAAAACTTGGCAAGACCCTCCTAAAAAAGTCTTTAGGCTCGGTGTGGCCTTCCTGGGTATACAAACTAAACAATGAAAATGCAGGCGACATGGGGAATTCCGTGTATGTGTGTGCCCGCGTGTAGCGGTTAGCGCTACGATGGGCTACGAACCCACCGAGCCGAGTTCAATTCCCGCTCATGGCCAACACCAGTGACGATTATCCTGGGCCTCCCCTAGGTAGACTCAGCCTAAAATGAGTATTTGGTGCGGTGAGTAAACATCGCCATTCGGGAGAAAAAGGTGGCTGGGTGTGATGCTGGCCACCCACCCCCTCGTGCCGGCCTTCATAGGTGCTCGCTAACAACATTTTCCCCGACACTCTGTTCAGGCTATATGGGGGGGTGGGGGGGTGGTCTTTGTCTTTGTGCGCACACGTGAGCAGTACAGGGACAGCCGTGCGCGCGTTGTCGAGTGGCAGGAGCGCTGCCAGTGGAGCGAGAACGACCGCGATTGGCTGGGCTCCGAGCTGCAGCGCTGCCACGAGCTGCTCACCTCGCTCGAGGGAGACGACGACTCCAGCCAGGTGGGGCCCACGGCTCGCCTGCCGCTCACTCCCTCATCGCGCTCACCATCGACCCGAGCCTCCCGCCTCCCACGATACTCCTCACCCTGCACCGACCAATCCTCGCCTACCGTTGCCATTCTCACCTGGCCTCACCCACAGCCATCAACAACCCATCACCTCTTCTCACCTGCCACTTCTCACAATGCTCCTCCTCCCCACCCTCACTTTATCTCTGTTAGCCTGAATGTTGTGTTTTTATATTAAAAAAAAAGTATAAAGGTGCAGCCCTACAATGGCTGGCTCACACCTCTGCCGGCAGAAGGGCCTCCACGAGAGGGAGATGTAGGGCCCCTCTGGAGGGTGTTTGGCCCCGCTCCTCCACGCTGGCCACATGGCTCAGAGGAGGTGGGCGTACCCAGACTTTACCCTACCACGCATGTCCCGCCGATCAACTAACTGTAGAGAACCAAATTACGCTGCCCTGCCAAGAGATCGAACCGGCGACCACTGAAATGCAAGTCCAGTTTGCTAATCATTACACCAAAGCAGCATCCATGTGTGTGTGTGAGTTGATGTGTGTGTGTAACGCCATGTGTGTGTGTCTAAAGTCGAGGTCTGTCTGTGCGAGTCCATGTGTGTGCGTGTGTAAGTCGATGTGAGTGTCTGTCTTTTTCGCCCGGGCAATGCTTGGTACTTATCGCTAGTATACAATAAAGATGATATAATGAGACGTATATATACACATTCTGAGGATGAGAATGACACACATGGTAAGAATTACACCCACATGTGTATTCCAGAAACCGTGGATCAAACGTATCCCCATGCTGGCCATAGTGATCGCAGTTGCCATGGCGACGGTGATCCCAAGGATCAACAAGTTGATGTCGTGAACGCTGCAATCAAAAGCTGGCCATCGGGATCCTCGCTCCAGGATCTGGTGGCTCCAGCATCCGGCCTTCGGTATCGGCGACACACGGAAGTATAGTCCCCGTGTCGGGATTTTCTGCACGCTAGACAATTGTCGCCTCTTTCTTCGTGTGTGCGTGTGATGCTAACAATGTGTTTGAGAAATTATAAGACGACTTAATTGTGAATGGTTGTGCGCAATCGCTGGGTGAAGCGGAATTATCAATCTTGTTCACGCGTTGGAACGTGGTGCGGCTCACGCGGGCAAGGGAGCGTTCCGAGAATCACAGTGTTTTGTTGATCCGAATAACTTTTTTTTAAATATATAAACTTCTCAATGTCAGAGCTCGGCGAGGAGCATAGCTCTGCTGGCTGCCGTACACGAAAACAGGAAGACACGCAGGCAGACGACACGCGGACCACGGGACATATATGGACGGACACGCAAGACCACAGGCACACAGATGATGCGTCGGCTAAAGTGTCAGCTGTATAGATGCAGACGACAAATGTAGAGACACGATAGATTGCTATACAGACAGACACGCAGAGACAAGCAGACCACTGCAGTGACAGGTAAACAGTCACACAGAGCACTCACAGATTAACAGTGACGAGTAACACACAGACCAGAGAGACACGCCGACGTCGTGACAGATAGATAGTAATAGGCGCACAATGAAATACAGACAGTCGCACAGACCATAGGCATGCAGATGAAATGATGGACGTGAAGACAGATGGACACAGACAAGCAGACAGAATCAGAATCTATATTTATGTTATATTGAAGGAATCCGATGAGCTATAAAGCTCTTTTTCACAGATGTTTCAGTATGGAGTGCAAAGAGTCACACAGACAGGCACAGCATAGACAGTCACTCGTACACAGCATTACAAAGACAAATATCCCCCGTATAGCCTTAACATACTGTTGGGGCATGTGTTGTTAGCGAACACCTATGATGGCCGGCACGGCACACGAGGGGGTGGGTGGACAACACCACGCCCGGTCACCTTTGTCTCCCCAGTGGCGATGTTTACACACCGCACCAGGTACTAATTTGAGGTTCAAATAATTGTCACCGGTGTTGGCCGTGAGCGGGAATCAAACTCGGGTCGCCGGGGGTTCGTAGCGCACCTTATGCGCTCACCGCTCCCCGCAACACACAGCAAGACAGACACACAATACACGAACCACATTTGCGCACAGGCACAATAACCGAGTGGCAGACAGACGCATGCACACGCATAAAGAAGCAACCACCACCGCCGCCGCTCACCACTAAGTGGCGGCAACGTCAATACGATGCTTGCGTCAGACCAAGCGTACTCTGACCAGAGAAGCACAGACAACAGACCCCGACACGAAACGAAAGACAGAGAGACAGACTAATGGGCGACACAGGCAGGCAATGAGACGGACGGACACGCGCGTGTTGCACCTAGGGCTGCAGCAGCCCCCTTCAGTCTGAAACAGGGTTTACTCATCTTTCCTACAAATTCCCACGAGTCACGCAGATTTCCTGCACAGGTCGCTCTGTGTGCAACGGTTTCTTTCCTGCCTGTGCTTTCTTCACCTGCGATCGGGTGGGGGGGCCGGGGTGGGGTGCATGGTAGCGGCCGGGGGGGGGTCTGTGGCGTCGGTGCATGGCAGGTTTCCCACGGACGGTATGCGAGCCGTTACGGTCGAGTCCGCTCGCGCCACGTCGAGAACAGCGGCGCAGGGCCCTCGACACCGCAGCGCGATCCCCGGTCCGCCCGGGGTTCAACTCCTGATCGGTTAGGGGAGGGGGGGGGGGGACCAAGTGCCGGGCTACAAAGAGGGGGGAGAGTGAAATTGGACAGGGTAGGGTTTGGGACCCGTTTCATTGCTTGCACCTTGCTCGTGCCGCACATTATTCGTGCTATGCCACTGAGAACCCACAGACGTTGTGAGGATCGTGACCCATCGACTCGCATAGAGACCCACAGTATGCGTCTGTGTTGAACTTATTTCGCACCGTATTTAGCCGACCGCGTTAATCGAAGGTGCTGATCGGAGACTCGCATAGAGACTCGCGGACTAGAATAGGTTCCCATCGACTAACATAGAACCTATAGACTAACACAATGTGTACAAACAGTGCATCTGCATCGACACCCATGGGCCAGGTGGGACCCAAGCACCAGGCTATAAAGCACGGGGTGGGGAATGTTGGACGGGCTGCCCCAATGCATTCCATACATCGGGACCCTTGCCAGCTGTGCTATTGCTCTTGCACATGGCCTGAATTCAACAATTGTGGCTTTTTAGCTGTGCCGTTTAATTGTCAGTCCCACCACCCGGCGTGTCCACGTTCACCGCCGCGCCTCCACCTACGATTCCGTCAATGTCCATGATCTGGACTTGTGCTGCAGCTGGAGATTCGGTGCCGCGTTTTCTCTCACTCTGGCATTTCAATGACTCCAAGTTCACGTAATTATTATTGAGCACACGTAAAGCCATTCTAATAGCACAAGGCGACCGCGAGGGCGTTTTTTTTCACAGGCAACGGATGCAGGAGGACGATGTTTCCATGGAATCCCAATGAAGCCACCCGCAGGTATTTTTTCTAATTTTGGCCGTGTCGCCAACGCACGATGCCCGACTCGTTTCGAATGGCATCGCGGGATCTTTAACGTCCGCTGTGAAGCAGACGCCGAGTGTTTTACGGTCAATGCACTCCGCAGTAATAAATGGGGCGGCCTGCTGGATTTGAACCGCACAATTTGCATTCATTCATTGATTGTAAATGTATTGTTACGCACACGATTCGATACACGTATCGCGAGTGAAATAATCAGCGTTAATCGATGCTCACTAGAAGCCCAACACCACACCACTTACTCCATTGGCCCAGACCCAACGTTTTTCCAGGTAAGCACCACCTGAGACGCAACACATGGCTTGTACCAACATCGTTAGATCGCCATGAAAGTGAATTATGCAGTCACATCACTTACTAAGTAGGTTATCACATTATCCACTTTTATCCATATAGCACACACAAACAGGTACGGTCTTGCTAAATGTGTGCCACCTCTGGTGGTGCCGGGCAGAATCTGGCGGGACTCATCGCCGGTTTTACACGTTTACCGATCACCAGGTCCGATCAGTTGTGCGTACGATTCTCATGTTTGCATTTCAATCGAGGAGACTGCCAATCGCGCGAATGCCTTTTGCCACGGGTGAATGTGCCGTGAGAACGGACGTTGTAAACACCGATTTAAAAAAAAAAAGATTTAACAAGCCACTCGGCCCGTGTCAATTTTCAACTTTAAATGCACAACGCAAAGAAGCAACCGGGCCCAAGGATCCAATTACCCGTTAGGCTAACGAGGGCTCACGCCTTGACATACGCCGCTGACACCCGCGCGATTGTGCGCGTCGTGTTCCCGTGGATTTGACTTCGCTGTGGGGGAGGCGGAGGGGTTGTTGGTGGTGGTGGTGGCGGGTGGAGGGCAGGACAGGTGGTGTTGCAGTATTTGTTTAAACTGAGCCGCGCTTAGTTGGAGGCTCGCTCACGTTCCCCACACGCGGGGTCCGTGAGAGTGGGCGTCTTGATTTACTTTATACACACCACGTCATTGAAAATTGGTATTACATTACACGTACAGTATTTACATTTTTGAAGTAAGTCAACATCCTGCCCCTTTAGGGGGGCGCTGGCACGGCGATGCAGAGGGCGCCAGTCTCAATCTCCCGGTTAGCTCTGCGCCGAGAATGGCCGGGATTGTAATTTTAATCATTGCAACCAAAGTGTCCATCTCTGTGGGAATTTTCAATGCAAGACGCTCATTTCCGTTGGCCGTCCTGAGCCACTGGTGGAAATTCCACATTCGTATGGCCCGAGACCACTTACAGGACACGTTTGAAGTATTTTAAATGTAATATTCCACCGGGGTACAAGCTGCTAATGCGTTTGCATAATAACATTCCTTATTTCAGTGTATGCAATCTGCAACATAACTGTACTCGATGTTGGCGTTTATTTATTTGCGGAAATAAATATAATCTGCTCCGTGTTTTAGTCTGCAGGATCGTGCCTTTTTGAATGGGTGCAGTACGCTTTGTAATGGTTACATCGAGTGCCCTATTTTTTAACATCTGTAAAGCCTGCTGTGCACACGGTGATCGCCCATCCAGGCTGCGGCTGGCCTACAGAATGCATTATTGTACTCTACTCCTATGCTCCGTAGGCTATGCTCTCCACCGGAGCTTAACTTCAGCTGGACCTGCCTGGGCCCGAGCTCCGGAAAATACCCCCCCCCCCCCCTCCCTCATCATCATCTTCTGAAACCATGAAAAATTATTCCATGAAAAAAATTTAACCATTCTCCTCATCCACTTAAATCAACCCGCATTGACCAGCGTGGTAAAGTATGGGCAGATCTAAAAATATTTTAAAAAATAAATTTAATTTGACCAGGTAAGGCCCACTGAGCTATCCAGCTGTTTTTCAGAAGCGACCCGGCCATCACAAATGAGAGCTCAACGCAGTAGCCTATCACGTGGACATTTGTAGCAGCAGCCAAAATACTCTAATCGTGTGATGTTGATCCTAAATGTGGATGGACAAAAAGAACCGGAGGACCCGGAGAAAAATCCACGCGACCACCGGGACAACACGCAAACTCCAAATTCACAGGCGCCAGGGTCGGGATCGAACCCACGACCTTGCTTGCACACCCAGGCGAGGTAGTTAACATCCTCGCCAACTTGGCGCTCAAATAAACCTGTCTCACCCCCACCGCTGCCACAATTTCGAATCTGTGGACAGGGAAACGGGGGGGTGTGGAGGGGGCGGGGCTGTAACATTGTGCAGTCTGTGCACGTCACGTGGGTCTGTAATTGCGTGCCGGCAGGAACACCGCGTGCGCTGCTGCCGTGATGCATATGCATTGCGATGCTGTCAGGCACCGCCTCGCCCACTCAATACGTCACCCACCACCACCACTGACTGCCCTGTCAATCAAAGGCGCGTTCCATTCACAGCAATGGGAGGGGGATTGTAAAGTAACATGGAGCGACTTAAGGGGGGGGGGGAAAGGGGGTAACTACCAACGCTCGTCTCGTTAAATATTTTTTTATTTGCACTGCGATCGGTATAAATGTTGCAATAGTATCTGTGGGAATTATATAGCTTCTCAATTTATGTTAAATGCACGATTTTAATGCGTCCACGATTTCGGGCAGAAATATATTTCATTTAAATGTTCGACTTGCCCCTCCGTTTACTCGCGAATGGTATCGCCCAGCTCGACGGACTCGTCGAGAGGTCCCATTAGAATCCATAGCGCAGATATACAGGAATCCTTCACGCCCCCCTTCGTATTGCATTGGTCGCTCGCTACCCACGTGACCGCCAGCTGGTCCAATCGGGACCGCGCTTGCGCCCATCCGCAGTGGGAAATTGAGCGGCCGCAGCGGCCGAGTTGGAGGGTCCACCGTTCTCTCCTCCCGGATTCCTGCTTAATTTTGTCATCTTAGTTCTCGTCACAGTCTCGGACCCGCCGTCGGCTTTGCTGGCGCCCAAAGTCCGGGTCGGGATCTGCGGCGAGAATCCAGCGGGACGGGGGTAGCGGACGGCCCCTGAAGGTTGGCCGGCACCGAGGGTCCCCATCTCGGCAAAACGCCGCAGGCGAAGCCGTAGGCTTCAGGCCTAGGCCTCGGTCTTCCATTGCCCGCGGGGGGAAGCTGCGGAAGGAGTGAACGTTGACGATCCTCGTCTCCCTGCGAACGAAGGGGGCGAATATGCGCGGTGGCGGCGGCGGCAGAATGTGATGTGAGCGTCGGCGCGGGCTGTGGAGGAGGAGGAGGGAGCGGCTCGGTGAGCGCGGCGGTGAATGCTGAAGGTACGCGCGGGGTTCGCGGCTGGCTCGGTGGTGGTGGCGGCGGCGGCGGTGGTGGTGGAGGGAGAGACGGGGGAGACGCAGGTGAGACGCGGGGAGACGGGCACACTCGTGGAGACACTTGGCACGTCGAGGCGCTGAGAGGTGTATGACAGCCGGGAGGAAGACACGTGGATGCATTGATGCGTTGCGGGAGACTGGGACGTGGATACGCCTGGGAACGCGTGGAGCGACAGACGCGTTGAGGAAAGGGGACGGGGGGGGATACTGGAACGCGTGAAGACACGAAGACACGGACAACGCTTGGAGAGAGACACATGTACGGGGAGACGGATACGTGGAGACACGGACGGTGACACGTAAAGACAGAGACGTGAATACGTTGAGACGGAGGCAGTGATTCATCGTCGGTACGTGCGTAAGACACGGACGCGGAAAAGAAGACGTGGAGATACGCGAAGACAACGTAGATACGGTGGAGTCCGGTCAACACAGACTCGCGGTGGACTCCGGCTGAAAAGGCCGCGCCGAGACACAACAGGAGACACGAGGGAGAGACGCGGGCAGGTGAAGACGCCGCCGTAACGTGGAGACGGGAGACACGGATATAATCGAGACCACTGGAGCGACACGGAGACCAGAGCTCTGAGAGCCCGGAGTCTCGCGGAGTCCGCAAACCTGCTTCGCCTACAGCGAGACCTCCACTGTTTTTGTTTTCCATTTTTCTTCTCCTCCTCCTCCCTGCCACTCACCCCCGAAGAGACAATGCCGTCCGCCCTGGCCGTGTTCACCTGCCGCCCGGCGTCGCACCCCTTTCAGGAGCGCCACGTCTACCTGGACGAGTCGGTCAAGATCGGCCGCTCCGTGGCGCGGTGCCGACCAAGCCCCAACAACGCCACCTTCGACTGCAAGGTCCTGTCACGGAACCACGCGCTGTTGTGGTTCGAGAACGACAAGGTAATCGCGATGGCAGTGACGCTGATTGTCGTCGGTGCTGTCAGCCGAGACGACGGCCCCTGTGAGATGCAGGGGAACGAAAAGTGGTCTTGGGTATAAACCCGAACCCCTAAACCCAAACTCTGAAGCCGAACCCCTAAACCCAAACTCTGAAACCGAACCCCCAATTCCCAGATCCCGAAACCCCAACACTGGGGTTTCACTCCAGCGCTGTCCTCCAGACAGTCTCGTCCCTTAACCTGATGAAGGCCGCTTGTGTTGTGGCCGAAACGTCGTGATTTTTGTTATTTTATATTTTTTACCTACGTGACTTTACCCAATAGAACCAAAGAGTATGGATCCTAGTAGTCACGAAAGCTTTAAATCTAGAACCCAACACTGAACTCTAAACCTCAGCCCTAAACCCTTAACCCTAAATCTTAACCCCTAAACCCTAGCGCCATACCCTAGTACTTAAACCTTAACACCAAACTCCAAACCACAACGCTGAACACCTAATTCTAAACTCCAACCCTAAATGCCAACCCTGTCCCTAAACCCATAAACCTCTAAACCGCACCACTAAACCCAAACTCCATCCCAATGCACTGAGTTTGGTGGCACTTCTGTTTCTCCAGGACTCAGTAAACTGTTAACCACAACGTACCGGCAATGATTCTGCTGCTGATGATGATGTTGAGACACTGACTAGACGGGGCGCATTCAGGGTGATTCGCTCGTTGGAGGGCCTCTTTTTCCCTCTCCCGGTTGGGGCGGGCAGGGTGGGGGGGGGGCGCTGATTTTGTCTGCAGTTTGGCCACCGTCACGCGAGGTTTGGGCCCGGGCTAATGACCTAATTGGCTAATTTGCACTAGCGCCCACTTCCAAACGTGGGAGGCGTTTGTGTTGTGGCATAGAGCCCGGTAACCCGGTTGCTTATTAACGCCTCGAGTGGAATTTTACCGTAGCTTTGGCATTTTAAGCAGCAGTACGAGCTTCGCGATCAGCAGACAGTGGCATCTCTTCAACGGTCCGACGACTGCTGATGAGGATCGTGAAAATCTAGACCGAATGCAGAGTTTTGACAGTTTAAACACATTCCACGACTGGATAAGCATGGGTCTGGATGAAATTCCATAGGATCTTGCATATATCTCTTTCAACACGTCTGGCCAGCGTGGAAGAGTAGGCCAAAGACACCATTTTGAGGGGTTCTCTAGCGCCCCCTCTTGGCAGATGTCCTTCCTCCAGCGGTGGCGTGAGCGAGCTGTATGCAGCGCTGCGGCTTTACCTTGGCTGCTCCATGCTTTGTACCTCAACTTGGACCCAAACTTGACCTCAGGAGGTCAGTCTTTTGCAAACTCCGTGTGGTCGTGACTCCCTTCAAGAGGCGTGAGCTTCAGGGGGATAGTCTGTCAGGCTATGTTTTTTACTTCCGTGTTTATTTTGGAGAAATGTGAGGTCACTTCTTGAACTCCACTGGGGATCGTGACCTACAGTTTGGGAGACCCCATACTGCTAAGTCGGGATTTCCCTCCTCGGCTGTGTCACGTTGTAAATTTGTGTAAAGTCGTACATTTAATGGTACTATATTCCCCGGATAAAAATATTGTACAGAACGTAAAACGCACAGATGTCTTCTGGGAAATGACTCTGAACAACTGCTGACATCTTTTGTCCTCTTGAATGGTTGGGTATTGCGATGGAGAACCATCTACTGGTAGTGGATTCTGACCAACTAGATTAGAACACGCCTTTCGAAAGACAGTGTTACAAAAACTAATTAACAACAGCACTCACCACCGATACTAGCCTTGGCCAGGAATCGATATTGGGTCACCGTGTTCATACCGTAGTGCACTATCCACCGCGCCACCGTCGCGCCCCATCAGGCAGTAACGTACTGGTAAAGTCACGCGTGCGTGCGCACACACGAGCACATGCGGACTGTATTTGTGAGCAGGCGAGAGCAATTTGAGAAAAGAGACTCTTCAGATATAGAGGAGACCTGGGATGGAAACAGAGAATGTGCAGTGCAGAGTACATCAGGGCGGAAAACGAGTAATACTTCTCTTATTGTAAGATTAACCGACATCAGATCATTAAACAATAAACGACGGCCACTGTTTAACGATTCTCCCCACGGCAATCCGATGGATGGGCACGATTCAGGGTCACACTTTTACGAAGAAAACGATCCTAGCCTGGCTTTGTCAATACCACGCATGGTGCCTCGGGGAAGTGTGCTCACAATACAATGGTCGCTAGGAAGAGTGTCTGTTGCACACATGCACTGTCTGAGAGTAGTTTTATTCTTTCAACACACAGACCCAAAGGGCCAAAACGTCAAGCAGCCAGCAATAAGCAGCACTGGTATCAAAGTTGTTACGGATAAGAGTTACAAACACGTTGTTTGAATCAGAGGTTATTATTGTGAAAGCTTGGGTAAAGGAGATAACGATGGGAGAGGAAATTCCACAGTGGAGCGGTGTGAGGGAAGATGCAGAAAGAGAATTGAGACCTGCGGTGTGGTAAGTGGATAGGCAGGTGAGTGGGTGGGTGAGTTCTTGTCACCTGCAGTGTTGGTGGTCGATCACAGTGCGGTGGATGAGACTAAACATCCATTCTGGTTGACCGGAACCTCAACGGGCGGAGGAATCAACGCGTGAAGTTTACGGGAATGTTAACTTTGCTCATAGCAATAGATGAGTGGTAAGCAGGTGACTGATCACCGGTGAACGAGTCACTGGAGTCATGAATCCGAGAGTGCTGTATCATCACTTACCCCGACTCCTTCATGATGAATTCTATCAAGTGCAGTGAGGTAGGAAACTGGGTGCTTCACCCAAGATATGACAACAATATAAATGAGTGTGTGTGTGAAGAGAGAGTGTCCGGTGGAGAGAGCGTCACTTCCTTTGAGAGTCTCAGCCGGAGGGTGAGTCTGCTCGACTGTTTTTAGAGAGAGTTAAGTTTACCTGCCGAATACCCTAGCTGCGTGGACCTGCGGCACTAAGACCCCACCACAACTCATGCACGACCACAACCGGCAACATCACATCGGCCAAAGCCACGATCGTTTTGCCTTAGGAGAAACTTTTGGCTCGTTGGTTTTGTGCCGGCCATACCGGCAATGATGGGAACGGCACCTCGGCATGCTCCTGAACGCACGACGGAGCCAGGAAGGGGTTGGGGGGGGGTGGACGGTCGTCGGTATGTTGGGGGGTACACTTACCTTTCCAAATTTGCGCACAGCCGGCTTATTTTTAGAATTCGTGGCAGTGGGGGGGGGAGTCTGTTGACATCGCCGCCTCGGCGAGTAACAAATGTGGTCCGTCTGCCGGTCTCAATGGTGGTGGAGGAGGGCCGGTCGCTTGGTTCCTGTTATTCATTCAAATGCCCGTCGCAAGTGCCGACGGAACAAGGCAACCGCTGTTAATTTCGTGCAACGTTTTTTTTTGGACGGCATTGGCGGCGGTGTCGGAGCTGGGATAGCCGCCCTTCCCACTCTCCACATCCCCCCCCCCTCCCCTCACTTCGGGGTGATTGAAACGCCGTGACAAATCATAGCGCCGCAGGGAAACGAGTGGCCTGGAGATCGGAGATGCCGAGCCGGCTCTGCTGAGAACCTACGGTCGAATCCTGGTCTCAGCAGCCGCCTGTGCTTGTACGGCGCTCTCGAGTGGGGCGAGTCGTTGCAGCCGGATCACCAGACTCGCATTGCGTATTCCACCCGTCGCACGTCTGCCCTGACCAATTAACCGTCTGCAGTGTTTGCAGTGTGGTGGTGTAACTGTCATTTCGTACACAAGTTCACAAATCCGATCTGTTCGCTTATCTGCCTATTCCCTCGTCCCGAGCAAGTCGGACGTGCACCGTTGGACTGTATTTGGTTTGACCGCTTGCGCACCATCGCTTTGGATTAATTTGCTTCTTTTCCTTCTCCACTCACGTTTGGTTACCACGAGTCTAAGCCGTCTTGAACCTTACCCCCAGCCCTCTTCTGCCACTGCGGTGCAACGGTCAGAAACAATGGAGAAAGGTTTCTTGAATCCCCCCCCCCTTACCGCCCCTTGTCCACTCGGTCAAGCAGTCACTTTAAGATGTTTCTTGTTCATGTTTTTGTTTTGTTGCGGTTGCACCCGAGTCAAGAGCCGCATGGCTCACAGGGTTATATCTAATAAATGAAACTGAAAACTTAAACTGAAGGACCATGGGGTGGGTACTCCCACCAGTGTGGAAGAGCCGACTAAATACCCTCTATAAAGGGGCTCTCTCCAGAGCTTCCTCTTCTGCCAGCAGTGACGTGAGCAAGCAATTGCAGGGCTACACTTTTAGCGCAAGCTCTTACTTCCTTGAACGTTACACCCAGCTCTCCCCCTCCAGAGAGACTTTCAACTGCGTTGGCTGGTCACAGAATAAGGAATAAGTGACTTTGGCCGAGTGATTGTGAAGAGGCCTTTAACCTTGAGTGGTTGAGCGCTCGAGAATTTGTTTCAAGCGCAGCGCTGTTACAAACGCTGGATGATGTGGTGGATTCTGCCACTTGGCACACGCGGGGTGGTGGGGTGGGGGAGGCGTATCCACTGCGGGTGTCGCGGTTGTCCGGACACCCACCGTATGTTTAGATGTGACTACGAGACACCCACAGAATGTTTAGATATGGCTAAGAGACGCCCACAGAATGTTTAGATATGGCTAAGAGAGCCCAATAGAATGTATAGATGTAGTTTAAGAGACGCCCACAGCATGTTCAGACACGACTAAGTGATGCCCACAAAAATGTGCATAAAATTCGTGACATTTTGAGCCGCCACTTTTCACCGATCCACAAGGCGGTGTCGGTGATGATTGCACCGATGCTGCAATGCGCACACGCGCACACACACTCTGGCCCAGTACCGAGTCGGTGAACGGGGGAGGGAACGCGTCCGAGAGGACGTCCACCGAGGAGATGGAGGCATGAAACCAACTCGTGTGCAGGTGCCCAGTAGATTACTACATCACAGAATCGTGAGAGG